ATGTAGATTGGGTCATGTCATTCCTGGGTTTACTTTCCTTCCCATAACTCTTAAATAAAATCTAAACTCAGCCTTCTGACCTTCATGGCCTTGCCTGTATCTCCAGCCTCACTTCCTGTCCCTGCTGTCCCCCTCAATTCACTCCAGCCATGCTGGCCTGGTCTCCACGCCTGGAACTGAGCTCATTCCCACCTACAGATTTTTGGATTAGCTCTTCCCTCTTCCTGGAATGCTCTTCACTGGCTGACTCCTCCTTGTCATCCAGGTTCTGGTTCAAATATCACCTCCTTGGGTGGCAGAGGCGGGTGAGGGGGTTGGTTCTGGACACCACATCTAAAGTAGCATTGCTTCCCCACATTCTAGTCATCTATCATATTACAATATTTCATTTTTTAAAAAAAAAACAGTATTTCATTTTTTTCATAGTACTTGTCACTACTTGAATTGTCTTAAAGTTTACATGTATATTGTAGGATTGTCCTCTTATTCACTCCTGTACCCCAGTACCTAGAATAGTGTCTGGCATGAATTTAATAAATGTTATTAGGTATCACCATCGTCATCATCATTATCGTCATCATCATTGTAGTCCTATATTGAATAACTAATAGGTGCCTGATGTAGTGCTTAATACAATGCTGTTTCATTTCTAGCAGAGTGCTTTGAGATAGATTTTACTATTCATTTATGACGAGCTGAGGCAGACAGAGGCTAAGTGACTTCCCTACTAGCAGAAAGATAAATGGAGAGGTCAGGATTTGAACCCAAGTCCACCTCTCTTAACTACTCAGTAGTTTAACTACGTAGTAGTGTTGTCTTTACCACTGTAATCCCGTACCCAGTCCAAACAAACAAAAAACAGGTAGAATTGAATTACAGCATCTCAGAGGAAGAAGTTTTAATATCTGGGCTGAAGGTCAAGGGGTATTTGCTGGGAGAGAGAATAGGTGACACCTGGACTGCAAACTGGGGTCATGCAATGCACATTTTATTCCACAAATATTTTAACCCTATTGAGTTCCCACCCCTTGCCAGGCTCTGTTCTAGGTGCTGAGGATTAAATTTCTGTGAAGATCTCACACCCCTAGTCCCTCTACCTAGCAAAGGGGCTCTTAGGAGAATGTTCTGTTGGATGTCTGTACTCTTTGGGGGCAAGGGCATCTAAGTCATCTCTCAGGCACTGAGACTAGCCGGAGCCAATGTCCAGGGCTGTGCCTCTGAGGAGCTGGGGCAGGCCCAGGTGTGTTTATTTTGGAGCAGGCTGGATAACACAGAGATCAGGAATTCCAGAGACTGAAAAACAGTCAACTGATTTCCAAAATCTCAACTACCTGAGGCAGACAGAGGTGGGTGGGGAAGTTCCTGTTATTGTTTCAGCTTTAGCCAAAGGGGAAAACTTGGATTCCAGCCCTTTTTAGAGGATAGAACACTTCCCTGAGTTCATGGAAACCCTGTGGTTGATTCTTTAGAGGTGAGGCAGAGCTTGGTAATGGAAGGCCCATCCAATGGAAAATACTGTCTCCCCTAGGGACACATGATTCCCCCCAAACATCCTGGCTCAGCTCCAAGCTCCAGTATTGCTTACTGAGAAGGAATACCAATGACCACCTAATTATTGTGGAATTAATTCTCTTTGATTTCAACTAGATCCATTTCTGAAATTTAAACTGCAGTTGGACGCTGTGGATGAGAGGTTGATTTGCAGCAGCTTTCCACAGAACCAGCAGAAAAACGAGAATAACAGACGTGGCACGTTGGCCACACACTCCTTCCGTTATGGGATCGTACAGAGAATACATTGATATATTCTATTCCCATAAATTATCCAAGACCAAAACAAAAAGAACTAGGCTTATAAGGGGTTAACAGGCCACATGTGAAGGAAGCGGCTAGATTCTGTTGAATTCTGGTGACCTGGGAAACTATGATGACAAAGGGGAAGATTTAAATTCCAGAAGACATCAGATCCGGGGTTTTTCTCTGCAGAATAAACATGCAGCAGCCTTTTTTCCCTCTTATAGAGCAGAGGGTTTTTCAAATTAAGGATCCTCCAATCCCTTTTTCACTTTACCATCAGTGAACTCCCCAGCAGGCAAACCTGACCCAACACCCCACCCCCTTGTATAAAATCCTTGCCTCCCACTGTCTGCCCTGCTCGCATTCCACATTCCAGCCACCAGCAGCACTGTGTCCCCTTGCACCGTGCCCTTGTCACTCAGCAGGCCATGCTTAACCACCTCTGGACCTTGGCACGTGGTATTCCCTCCGGCTCCATTGATCTGTGTCTAGACGAGGTTAGGTCCCTCGGCCCTACGCTCCCATGGTGCCTGCTACTGCCCCACCATCCCACTTTATTTGTAATTGCTTGTTTAACTCCCTGCTCTCTCTGTAGACACTGTTGGTGCAGGGGGCCAGATATGTCTTGTTTGCCTCTGACTCTCCAGAGCCTAGGACAGTTCCTGGCACAAAGCAGTGAGAGAAAAACGGACTCCTCCAGTTAGATTTTGCTAATCTGAATGAGCTGTATGCTGCCTTTAAAAGCCTGGACTCTCAGGCAGCCCAGGTGGCTCAGCGGTTTACCTGCCTTCGGCCCAGGACGTGATCCTGAAGACTTGGGATCGAGTCCCATGTCAGGCTCCCTGCATGGAGCCTGCTTCTCCCTCTGCCTGTGTCTCTGCCTCTCTCTCTCAATCTGTGTCTCTCATGAATAAAAATAAAATAATAGAAAAAATAAAAGCCTGCTGCTAAGACATGAAGGCCAAAGAATAACAGGGCAAGAATGTGAGAAAACTGCCTGAAGTTTGTGCCCCTCCTTCCTTTCTCTTCAGTTTACCCAGCTCCTGAATTTATGAGCAAAATCCATGGATTTTTTGCTGACCACAGTAACAGAAGAGACTATAAAATTCAGCTTTCCATCTGGTTCTTCATGGTCCAAGAAAATACAGTAATTCCAAACTCCAGGGAGACAAGCACTCAAATCATGAAAGCCTAAACCAGCCTGTTGTAGACTCTCCTAAGAGTAGCATGAAATGTGACTCAGGAAGAAAAGTGAAGAAAGCATCATTTACTGTGTACCGATTGGTTCCCTGGTGGCCCTCAAAGGGTAGGAGTTTGATGCTTCCCCATAGTGAGATTCCCCTCTGGCCTTCAAAACCAACCCGCTCAGTCCAACAGCTGGTCCTAGCTTCTCTCTCTACTCCCGCCAATGTGCTCCTTATCATGAGGCCAATTGCCAGCTACCACTTTGCAGACTGGGGCCCAGAGTGGAAGCTGGCCTTCCAATAGGAATGCTTTAACATCTGTCCTCCTCCACTGTGCAAACTGGCTGCTATTTCGGTGCAAAGATGATGTGTTTGCTTTTTAATGTTTTATGTTAGAAGGGGAGTTAACGGAAAATTGCTGATGAGGGACAAACTCAGAACCGGCGCCCCGTTGATCTAAAAGCATCACATGAGGCACTCGGGCGTGCTTGGGCCTCTGCCTGATGTCATTCCCCTGACCACTGGTACGCCTCTTCTCCTGGCAGGAAGAAAATAGGGCAAAGGTTCTGAGAAGCCATCAGTAGACTGGTCTCTTGGTACTCGGGGCCCAACTGAAGAAGATTTTCAGAACCGTGCTAGTAATGCCAGCTCTGGAGAGATGACAGCCAGTTTGAAGGCTTCAGGCAGTCTGGATAAGCATCTAGACTCTGGGTGCATTTCTGAGTCCGCTCTGTGATCCCTTTGAAGTTTATCCAACTTGAATAAACCTTCTAGAAAGCTGGGGCCAATAAAAAGGCTTTCTTTAGAAGTCCCTCTGGATGTGCCCTGTTGCTTTCTCACAGGGCAGCCAGCCCATCAGGACAAGAGATGTGAAAAGGACAGACGGAAGAGGCTTGAGACGGAATGTTTCCATAATATTCAACTTGCTGACTTTTTTTTTTTTTTCCTTTTCTTCCTGGCCTTTTTATATATGGAGGAGACAGGAGATAGATCACCAAATTCCCAGTGGCCTTTGACGACTTCGAGCTTAGATCTGATCATGGCTTGCCTGTGACCCCTTTGCACCGATGCAAACTGTTTCTGAAGGCCGAGGCTAAGATGTGCAGGAAAAGCACCAAAAACATTAGATGAACAAAGTTTAACAAAAGACGCCATTTGCAGTCCAGGAGAGCTGGTGACAGGGCCATGCAATGGCACAGGCAGAAAGTTCCATTTCATTTCCTGGAGAAGCAGTCCCTGGTTGCCTAGGCTGGGAGCTGAAGCCTATCTTTCCTGTTTGCACAGACGTTTTAATCACAGAATTACTGGAGCAGCAAGAAGGGACTGCACGCTTGGAGATGCAGCCAGGCAGGTGAATACACCTCAGGGCTGGGTGGCATTTCCCCAGGTGCAGCCTGAATTGGCTCTGGGCCACTCTCAAGAAGTAACTAGGGTGGGCAGCCCCGGTGGCTCAGCGGTTTAGCGCCGCCTACAGCTCAGGGCATGATCCTGGAGACCCCAGGATCAAGTCCCAGGTCGGGCTCCCTGCATGGAGCCTGCTTCTCCCTCTGCCTGTGTCTCTGCCTCTCTCTCTCTCCTCTCTGTGTATTCTCATGAATAAATAAATAAAATCTTAAAAAAAAAAAAGTAACCAGGGAGGGTGGGGTACCAAACACCAGTTTCTCTAGAGAAGCAACCAGGAAGGGGCCTTTATGAGCCATAAGCGGGGTCTTCAAACCTGCTTTTGGCTCATTTATGGGAACAAGCTGAGTGATGCCCCTTCTCTGACTTTGAGAAGTGTGCCACCTTTGAGAAGGGCAAGACACAAGTTCCGCAGAGGACTGAAGCAGGACTCAGAAGCATCTAGAGAGGGGAGCTGAGCTGCGGGCATCCTATACAGCAGCATACCCCAGCTCTGCTGGTTGACCACAGACATGAAAGGCCCTTTTTTTTTTTTAGCTCTAGGAATAAATGACAGAGGGGTATGACAGAGAGGCAGTGGCAGCACCAGAGAACCCCCACTGGAAGTGGGGTTGCAGGTAGTTTTGTTCATTTATTGATAAAAAAATATTAATAGCAATTCAGAAAAACAAAACATTCACAACCCATCACAGAGTCCTGTAAGTTTCAGCCATATGTTCCCAATGGAGTCCTTCATCTAACGGAGCTGGTGGTTTCAGCCGAAAGGCCCCTTCATGTTCTTCATGGGTGGGTACTGCTGCTCCATTGGCATGGCTCCAAAGCAGTCAGAGGGGTTACAGTGGCCAGCCTTGCCCGGCTGGCCCATGGGACCTGGGGGCCCAGGGATGCCAGGAATGCCTTGCTGGCCCATTGGTCCAGTGGCACCCATCTTGCCATACCCTGGAGGGCCTTGAGGGCCTAGGGAGGGAAGAGTCAGAGGAGGAACGTCAAGAGACCCAGGTGGCAAGAAAAGAAGAAACCATGGTCATGGTAAATAATACTTTACATTTGATAAATATTTGTCAGGTTACAACGGGTTTAACGTGAAGACTTGATCTGATCCCCACGACAATTTAACAATAACAACAATATCATTGGCTAGTTTTATTGGGAGCTGCCATGTGCCAGGCACAAGGCGAGTGCTTTTGATGCATAAGTCAATGAATCTTCACAACAATTCTGTGAGACAGAAACTATCATCTCATTTTGTAGATGAGGACACAGGCTCAGAGAGATTGCCCATGTGGTAAGCAGTGAAGCTAGGTCTCAGAGCCAGGCCAGCAGGCTTTGGTCACTTCTCTTTTGTCTCTACAGCCTGACTTAGCGACCTCATCAAGGTCAGACAGCCAGGATGATGCGGAGCAGGACTTGAGCTCACATCCCCTGGCCCCACCATATCTGACCGTCTTCCCCTGTGTCCCGCTAGCCTAGTTTAGGACTTGAGGATGGACCCTGGGTCTTCCACTCCCTTCCTTCGAACACCTGGCATTACTGTAAATGTTGGCTGATGGGCCTGTGTTATTTGAGGTTCTCCATAACTATATTGTGTTGCAGAAGGAACATTAGCAAAACAGATCTCAGCTGCTCAAGATTCATACTCTCAAATTCTGGCTCTTCCTACCTGGGGGGCCGGGGAGACCATTTTCTCCTGCAATGCCGATACCAATGTCCCCTTTTTCACCTTTGGTACCGGGCAATCCTGGGACAAAGGAAATAAAATAAGTCCTATTCCTTAGCAGAAAAATGACACAGCCGGTCAGATTAGTTGAAACACACACACACACACACACACACACACACACACACACACACACACAAATCAGACTCACAATAGACCTCATGCATGCTCATGCCTGCCCCCAAAGAGTCCCCCATGCACTTTGGGAACTGGGGGGGCAGAGCTACCTCTCATGCCTGGCACGCCCTGCCGTCCTTCCCTGCCAATCTGGCCAGGAAGTCCGGGTGATCCCGGAGCGCCTGGCCGGCCTGGGGCACCGTCCTTCCCCGGGGGCCCTGGTCGTCCCGGAGCTGCGGCCATCTCCATGGGGAACTGCATCCTGGAGGTGTAGTAAGCCATCCTCTCTGTAAAGAAGGATGGGGACAGGTCACATGGTGCCCCAGGGGCCTCAGACGGGCACAGATAGGCTGCCAGCCTGGAGTCCAAACAGCCATTCTTCAATGGGGAGTCAGAGCGAGGAACTCCAGGGCTGATCTCCTGAGTGGCCTCCCATGCCCTCGCCTCCACCTTCCTGTGCACGGTGGTCCTTCAGCAGCACAGACCTGACGGTGGCCTCTCTCTTGTCCCACACCCTCATTAGTCCACCACTGGCTTCACAATAGAGTCCAGACTCCTTGCCCGGCATTCAAGGTCTGCTTCCCTAGCAAGATGGCCAGCCCCATCAGACTGGTCCATGTTCTCCCCCAGGCCCTAGCATGGCAAGGTTGGATGAACAAATGTACAGGAAAAATGCTTAAAAGTGAAACCACACCAGCTATCTCATGGTTGCCGCTCGCCCCTCTATTTAGAGCTCACTGCACGCGGACTCGTTTGATTTCAATTTTCTTGTCTGTCTCCTTTGCTCCAGTGGGGGCTCGCGGAGCACGGGGGGAATCATTTTATCTCTGAACAGAGCAGGTGATAAGGTAGGTCTGACGTCTAATTGAACATATGCCTGGAAACGGAGGGGGGTGGTGGGGGGTGACTGGAGAGGGGAATAGAGCTTTAAGGGAAAGGAGGCCAGGGCAGGGCGGAGAAACAGCTGGGAAGGGCCAGCAGCACCCACTGCCACCCAGCCAGCTGCCAATTACCATCAAACATTTTAATGATCTCTTGTCTGATGAACCTCTTGATTTCATCATAATTCACCATGTCTCCCTGAGGAAAAGGAAGAAAACCTGCCTCAATTATACTTCCAAGCCTGGTGCTCTCCCCCTGGGAATACTTTACGGAGATAAAGGATAAGGAGGGGAACAAAGCTGCTAGGAGCCTCCCACAGATACTTAATCCAAGGTCCTAACCCCCAGGAAATGGTGCAAAACGTTTTGTGGAGCAGCTCGTTTTTCTGGGGAACGGGCTCCCAAACCTCCCCACTCTTCCACACGCCATTAAGAACCACTGATACGGGAGTCATGCTCCTTCCCTCAGAGGGCCAACAGGAGCTTCCAGAATGGTTCCAGCTCCGCCCTGCATGCCTGCTCTGCGGCACGGTGCCCATGATTGCTGGCCTTCCCTCTTACCATGGAGCCAGGCACCCCGGGCAATCCTGGGCTCCCTGCAGGCCCCGGAGATCCAGGGTGGCCCCTCTCTCCTGCAGGACCTGGTGGCCCAACAGGCCCCATGGAGCCACTCTTGCCAGGCCCACCAGGCATGCCAGCTCTTCCCTTCTCTCCTGCCTGGCCCTTCTGTCCTGAAGGTCCTGGATCACCCTACAAAGACAGGAAGTCACATCCAGCATTGCCAAGTACTATCCAGTCTACTTCATGACGTCTCAGCAATCAGCCCCCCCACTTCCATCCCCCATCCTGGCCCCTGGCGACTTCCCCTGACTGTGGCCGCAGCATCCTGACAAGTTGCCCCACCTCACTGCCCCCAGAGCAGCCCTCTTGAGAAGACAGCTTTCATGCTTAGACATTCTGAAGGTTCCCGGCTGCCCTCAGGATAAACCCTGATTCCTTGGCCAGACATTCCAGATCATTCACAATGTGGTCCCAATCACCTCTTCTCCAGGCCCACCTCCCTGGCCCTGTACCTGCAGCCACGCCTCACGGGTTAGAACTTGCCTTCGGCCACACATCTTAGCCCTCCTGGCCTGGAATGCCCTTCCCCTCCTTCCACCCAGTGCACTCCTCCTGCTCGGCTAAAATGCTCCTGTACTTTGCCCTGCCTCCCTGACTCGCCAGGCTGAGTTGGGTGCTCTATCTAATCTGTAAAGCCTGCCATGCCCTAGCGTAAGTGCGACTGGACTAAGTGAGCAGCTATTGTTCAGAGACCTCGGTTTGCCCAAGGCTGGGACAGAGGGCCTGGAATCTACGTTAGATCAAGCAGATGCTTGCAGCCTGAGTGAATCAATCAATCAATCAACTGGTCAATGAATGAATGGACTTGAGATTTCCATCCTCCCAATCATAGCTAAGAAATAGGCCCATGTGAGAAGCTTTTAGAGATGAGGTTGCTCCAAGTTTTGAGTTCTGCCCACGATTTTCTTCCTGTCTACTGACCTTCCTGTGTCTCCTCTCCATGGCTACAGTCAGAGCTTGGAACAGGCCTTCATCACTCATGAGTTTTTCCCCTCAAAACCAGCCAGTGTCCACTCACCTTTGGACCAGGGGGTCCATAGAGTCCCTGTTTTCCAGGGGGTCCCTAGAGGAAAGCAAAGGTCAGGGGTCAAGTCTGGGCAGCATCTCCAAGCCATTCCGGGGAGGTAGGTGCCATGAAAGGACCACCTTCCACAGCCATAGGGCCTGGAACTGTATCCAGCTAGGCTCTGGGTGAGGAAGGACACCAGCCTCCTCTCTGTTGGTCGACAGCTAGAAGGGAGAACAATGTCCCCCAGGGCATGGCCTTGTGTGATCATATTGGTTGGGTCCCTTGTCACAAACAAAAAGAAGTGAGAAGTCAGAGTGAAAGGGCCAGTCCATGGCATATTGGAAGCCCTTCTAAGAGCTGGGGCCCAGGAAATGTTTGTTTGGAGTCTACTACCACCACCACCTCATCACCACCATCACCACCACCACCACCACCATTACCACCACCACCACCACCACCACCACCACCACCACTACCATCATCACCATAAGCTTTCTTTGGCCAGGTACACAGTCAAAAAATAGGGAAGAACAAGTGTCATGCATCCTTCTCCCCAGCCCCCAATCCTCCCCAACGCAGCAAGGGCCACCAAACTCCTGCATATCTGTCTGGAGGGAGTCTGTGCATTCAGGGGGTGTTCACTGAGTGAACAAAGAGGGGTGAGGGCCAGGCTAGGAACAAGCAGCAGCATCCCCCAGGGAAAGGAGGAGCCCAGCACGACAGTACCTCTTTGCCAGCTGCACCATCTGCCCCAGGTTCACCCTGTGGAGTAGAGAGCGGTAGACATATGATTGGCACTAACCCAGCATGGCATCACCTGCCTCCCCCTGCCCACCACCTGCACTGAGCCCTGTGCCACCAAGAGACCACAGTTCTCCAGCCCTCACCCTGAGACACTTGGGGCACAGGCCATGGAAACCTAGGCATCCTCCCTCCCTCTACTCCAGTCTCTCCCAGAGCCCCAGCCAACAGCCCCAGCTGCCCCCTGAATGAGCTGTACGAAGAAAGAGCAGACTGCATGCTCCTTGCTCCTGGCTTGAGGTCCCAGGCTCTTGCAGGATCCCTAGCTCTGAGTTTATGTTACATGTTTGCCGAACAGAGGCAGTAATTGTGAACCTCTGTCCTCAGTGAGGTTCCAGGGACAGGCCAGGCAGCCTGAGCCTGTTCCCTCCCCAGGACAGGACAGATTGTATCTTGGGCCCAGCCTGCTTCTGGTGAGATGAGAGAGGGCCAGAAGGTTGGAGGGACCTGCCTGCCCTGGGGCCATGGCAAGAATCAGAGTGTGTAGGTGAGATTCCACCTTCTTGGCAGATGGGCCAACTATCACCCCTATACCAGCCCCAGGGTCATGGTTACAGCTCCAGAAGAGAACACCTTGACCTGGGGGCCAGGAGATCTGGGTTCCTGCCTCAGTTTCCCCAGGAGATTTCATCCCTAAGACTGGTTGGCAATCCATCCATCTGATGTTGGTCACTTGTCTGGAACTTTTGAAAGAGGGCATATTGCAGAGTGGCTAAGGACGTAGGTTTTGGAATCAGGCAGGCTCTTCGGCTCACTAGCTGTCCAATTCCCCACCACCTACTTAACCTTGCTGAGCTTTGGTTTCCTCATCTGTAAAATGGGGACAATCAGATCTACTAAATAGGATTGCAGTAGAGATTAAATGACAAAATGTCAAGCGCTTAGGTCACCGTTCAGCACACGGTCAGGGACCAATATATCACACCTCTTGGTATTAAGTGCCAACTGAGACCAGGAGTGGTTTGGGTTGCCGAGAGGGCTGCGGTAATGGCACTGCATTTCTGGTCCCTGGCATTTAGATTCTCGGGGGTTGCTAGCAAGCTCCCACGGGGAGGGGGCAGGGGCAGAATGGGCGCCAGCTCTCCCTTGCCTGACACCTGGTCAAGGGATTGGCACAAGTGGTGTGTGGTCAGAAGCGGTGGCCTGGTGCATACTTGGCAAGCACTGGCTGGCAGGGCTTGTCCTTTCTTCCAGATATGATGTGATCCTCAGGCACAAGCTCTGTGCTGCCATCTTCCATGCTAACAACCTCTCTTTCCCTGGAGACCCTGGACAAGCAGCGCTGTGGTCCAGTGACCAAGCCAACTGGCCCTTTAACCTTGGGGCTGTGCAGTAAGATGTGGGGTCTTACCGGGGGGCCAGGGTGTCCAGGGGGGCCAGGCTGGCCTGGAAGCCCTAGAAGGCCCCTTTCTCCAGTGGCTCCCCGATCTCCTTTTAGGCCCTGAAGAGAAAGGAGGTGGGTGGTGAAGGGGATGGGAGAGGCAGCAGTGAACCCCACACAGCAGAGGCAGGTATCATTATGTGCCTGGGACCATGCCCCCAACCCTCAGGCCCTCCAGGGCAGGGGAGTGCTGCTTGAACCTGACACAGGGCCCCGTGATGGCCTCTGGCCCCCTTCAAAGGCATTTACCATGTGCCACTTGGGGAGACCCAGGAGGCAGGAGAGGCTGAAGCCAGGAAGGAGGGGGGTAGACACAAACTGTTCTCCCCACTCCCCTCTGTGCGAGGACCCCCAGCTTGACTCCCAGGAAGGAGGGGTGCGGGGAACATGTCACTCACCATTGCAGAGATCCCGGCAGGACCCGGCTGGCCTGGAGGCCCTGGCGGCCCCTAAAGATAGATGAACTCAGTGGGCTGGAAAGAGTCCTGGGGAACAAGGCCCCCCAGGAAGCAAGCGAGGGACCAATAGACCTTAAACCTCAGTGGCTCCGTCCTCCTTCCTAAACCCTCCTTCCCTCTGTTCTTGCCCTCAAGCTTCTACCGAAAGATCTGTGCTGGAGCTGACACCTAGGAAGGTCCCTGAGCTCACAGGACAGAGAGGATGATCTGGGAGCCAAGGGCAGAGGGCAAAGGCCTGAAGGTTAACTATGTGGGCCTGTGGTCTTCCGAGGCACCCCACTTCCTCCTGTTCTGTGGGAGAAGTAAAGAGCAGGAGCTGGGGGCTGCGTAGCAGGGGCTCAACTCCAGCACCACCACCACCCCCCCCCACCCCCCGCCCCGACCAAACAGATAAGCCCAGCCCTCAGCCACTGGGCCTCCCTGGTCCCCTACTCTGCTGCCACTGGAGGGCAGTGGGACTCAACACGCAGGGGTGCTCAACCCTGCTGGGCTGGGGTGGGGCCTGAATGCAGTCCCCATCTCTGAATCACAGCTCATATGCCAGCCCCCTGCTGAGAGCTGTGCCTTCTCTGAAACCCAGGGCATGCAGACCTCTCTCTCAGCCTGCCCCTCCACGTTCCCAGTTGGAAAGTTCTGGAGGCATGGACTCTACTCATTGCTAGACTTCTGGGGCAGAACTGTCCAGCGTTGGGACTAGCACAGAGCAGGGGCTGAGGCTGGACAGAGAGAAGTGAGGGGGGAACCTTGTGCCCCCTTTCCCCAGCCCCCAGTGAGTCTGTGATGGGCTCACAATTCAGAGCGTGCAGTTCCTTTCATCTATAATGTGAGCGGGGAGTAGGCTAGACCCGGGGTCCCCAAGCCAGGGCCTCTGGATCCCTCATACACACGGTGATGAGGACCTGAGAGCTCCTCTTTTTGGTCATGAACTATTTTTAACATTTCCAGAAGCCTCTCAGAAACTGTACATCTGCCACAACAGGCCTGCAATCAAACGCGAGTGTTTCCTTTGCTCAGGAACCCCATCAGCTTGGGGCCGTCACACTGATCAAAGGCGCCCATGGGCAGCCATCTCTGTTACTGAGGAGCAAATTCAGACGGGGAAACTCATTATTGCTTAATAACTGTCCTCTCCAAGTTGTCTTACCTCTGTAAGTGCGCCACCCACGCAGCTGGCCGCCCGCCTACACGCACACACAGAAGGAGACATCCCGCCTTCTCTCCTTCCTCGGCTCCCCGGCCCTCCCCCACGCGGGTTGTCAGCAAGTCCTCCAAACACAGCCCCTCTGCCTGCGGCCACCACTCCGTGCCAACCACCGACCACCGCGACCACCCCCACCACACCATCCCTCCGGGACATCTCAGCTTCCAGGCTTCCACCTGCACCCCTCCCCTCCTGATCACACCTCCAAGGTCCCAGGTCTGCACTAGGTCCTCTGCAAGCACAGCTTTCCGGCTCCCACTCAGGCCCTTCCCAAACTCCACTCCAGCCACCCTGACCTTGGGGCTCCCCCCACCCACCAGGCCCCTCCCTGCCTCAGGCTCTTTGCGTCAGTGGCCACCCTCCCAGCCCTCCCTTCCCCCTGGACACTCTTCCGCAGACTGCTAGACAGATGGCTCCTTTTGTCATTCAGGCCTTGGCTCAAATGCCACTTCTGCAGTAAAGGTGCCTCTATAGGCGCCTCCCAGGCCCTCCCTGAGACATCATATCCCTGCCTGATGCTTGTGCATTAATCTGTTTGTTTGTTATGCCAGTGCGGAAGCTCTGGGATCAGGGGACCTTGTCGATCTCGCTCACTGCCTTTAGCCCCATGCTTGGAACTGTGCCTGGCATGGAGCAGGTGCTCAATTATTGCTCATTGAATAGCTGAATGATCTCTGTTTGATAAGTAAACTCAAAATGTGCCCAGAAAAGAATAAAATGGCAAAAAGCCTGGGCACCACTGGATTAGGTGGGTCCGAAGCCCCTTACTGCGCTACCGGCTGCTCCTGGGGCCAGTGCTTTCAGGCCATCACTGGCTCGCCCGCCCCAGCCCCAATAGAATCCTAACTCTCATAAAGGCGGAGGCAAGGACGCTTTAACTCACAATGTGGCCTGGGGGGCCAGGTCTTCCCTGAGGTCCCATGGCACCAGGCTCACCCTGTAGGAACCAGGAAAAAAAAGCGACAGGGAAGCAGACTTAAACACATGGGGATCTTAGGTAGGACAAAGCTGAACAGAGCAAGCGGACCGCCAACAGAGACGCTGAGCTGGGTCCCAGGCCCCAGGCCCATACTTTCCAGGGCCCACCTTGGTCCCTGAGTATTGTTGGAGAGACAGACCTGAGCCCCCAGCCTGAGAGGGCCAGGCCCTGTTTTTTTTTTTCCAGGCCCTGTTTTACACGAGTGACCCAACAGCCTGCAGTTGCAGGAGGGAAGAGGTGAGGAGGAAGAAGGTGAAGGTGTGCAGTGTGGGGCAAACCTCCCCCAGAAAGCCCTAGGAGAGAAGCAGCATTGGCCAGTGAGTGGGAGGGGAGTGGCTGCGTCCAGGCCTCGGCAGAGCCCACAGTCAGCTTGTGCTCAACTCAGCCCTTACCTCTGCTCCGGGCCGACCACTGCTGCCTGGGGGACCCGGTTTCCCACAGTCTCCCTGGAAGAGAGAGGGCCAGCTGGAGCTCCACAGACCTCTGCTGGTCTCCTCTGGCCTCATGTTGACCCCACATCCGAGGAGTCCTACTCCCTGCCCCGCCTCCAGCCAGCAGCACCCCCGATGCCCTCAGGCCGGTGGACGGTGAGGCCTGACCCAATCTGCTGGCACTGTGGTCTCAGGAGGCTCGGACGCTGGGATGGCATCTCACCCAAGGCTCAGTGGCACGGGCACTCCTGCAAGGAGCATGACCCCCATATCTGCCTGGGGTCAGGCCTTGAGGAGAGCTGAGAACACCTGCTCGGCAGAAGTCACCAGGCCCTCACCTTTGGTCCTGGGAGGCCAGGGTGTCCTGTTTTTCCCTTGAAGCCCTGGAAGAAAAAGTGGGAAGCTGCTATGGCCCTCGCCTCAAGCAGAGGCCACTTCCCTTGCCTCCTTCCTCGGGTTGAACAAATCAGACCCCTCCAAAATCCTAACATGGTCCTCAGAGGATCTGGATTTGAGCTGCCCCACCCACCAAGGAGAGCTCACACCTGCTCAGCTTTGGGACTTACCAGCTCCTCCTTGCAGCTCAACTTACCGGGGGTCCCATGAGTCCGGGGGGGCCAGCGGGACCAGGGTCCCCCTAGAGAAAAGACAGGATGCCTACTCATTCACCACTGCCTTCCTTCTCTCCAGCCCCCACCTCCACCCCCAGGATAGAGGGAATGTCACAGGAGGCGGAGGGAAGAATCTTGAGCCCGGATCAGCCTCTGACTGGCTGTGGACCCTCAGTGAATCTCAGTTCTCTCCAGAACCCCAATTTTCCTTCTTTGGGGACCCGATGGTGTAGATCTTGATGCTCTGCCCTTTGCAACTCCCCATCCCTTTCAGATGCCCCAGCAAAACCAGATCCAAGGAGCCAGGGTGACTCCAGTCTTTCCGTATCTGCACCCTACTCTTCCTGACACCCAGCCTAGTATCTTTAGCTGCCTGGGCTTCTGGATGTCAATCCACTCCCTTGGCTGTCTGCCTTTGGTGAGACCCAGCTCATCCAACCTGGTTAAGGTCACCAGGAGAACTGAAGAACCCAGGGGCTCTGGTGCCATCAGAGCAGTGGGGTGAGAAGCAGATGGAAGGAAGGCAGCTCATCTGGGTTCTGTTGACTTTGGCTCTTGGAAGAGGAAGAAGGAAAGGGGTACCTATCATCTCACCCTCAAGCCAGGCTTGCCGTCCTTCCCATCCAGACCATCCAGGCCAGCAGGGCCCTAGAAGGAGGAAGAAGGCATATCACATACTTGTGCTGGAGCCCTAGGTGGCAAGAGGCCTGACCAAGCCCTTTCACCCTATCCACCCCTCACCCAACTCCCCCTCCAACTAAGCACGCACATGCACCCCTATGCACACATGCACACAGCTCACACGCTCACCTGAATCCCAGGAGATCCTGGTGGCCCAGGGGGACCAGGCATGCCTGGTGGGCCTCGAATCCCTTCACTGCCCTGGAAAGAAGCCCACCCCACAACAAAGTCAGCAGGGCCTCGTTCCGCTGGGTGCTGGGCATTGGGACAAGGCACTGGGCACTGGGTTCTGATGATTACTGGAAATCAGGGCAGCTGGTTTCCAGCCCCACTTCTGTTCTGGCCTAACTGGATATACTCCACAGCACTCCCCAGGAGGATCTGTCTTCATCTGCAAAGCAGCCCCCTTCCCACACTGTTCCACGAGGAACGGACAGAGCTAGCATCTTCTTCGGGTTTGATTCAGGGACTCAATGGGTGCTCAACTAAAGGCATACATTCAGTTCACGTCGGTCCCAACATTGTGCCAAGCACTATATAGCCTCTGATCCTTCCAGATGAAAAAAGGGTGGCCCCTGTCCTCAAGAAGCTCACAGTCACTCTCAGAAGAGGGAGCGGCTCACTCCGGCCAGGGCTCAGGGAAAGTATCACAGAAGCATCACCAGACACTAGACTCTGAAGCATAGCTGGGATTTCGACAAGTTGGGGAAGGACAAAAGGGCAAGCCAGAGGGAACTTCAGAGAAGGATACAGATTTGGAAGTGGTCATTTGCCTGGGGGGCCCATGTGAGGGATGGGGTGAGAAGTAAGGCCGGAGAAAGGTAGGGCCTAAATGCCCTGAACACTGTGCTAGACTCTATCTAACAGACAAGTGCTTTTCAAACTGTACTTCTCAGAGCCCTGGATGTTCCTGGAGGAGCGTCAGAGATGGGTGCACGAAGTGGGACCCCAGAGGGTGGACCCAAACCCCTTGCCCCTGCCTTAGCCAGAGCGGCTCCACTCGTGTCTGTTTTATACATTGAAGGTTCACGTGAGCGCCTGTGTGATGAAAGGGCCCGGGGACTTCAAAATAAAGTCTGGGAACCACTGCTCCAGGTACTGGGGAGCCACCGACTGTTCAAAGCAGGGAAATGATGAGAATCAACGTGTGAACTAGAATGTTTACTGGAGAAGGGAGGGGGGCAGCTTGGTGTGGAGGGCTGCCGCGTAGCCTAGTGGAAAGGGAGTGGCTGCTCCGGTGCAGTGGCTGAGGATTCGCCAAAGAGAAATGATCCAGCTAGAGACCCCCTCCATGGGGGGTGGGGAGGAGAGTCCCCGGTGGCATTGCAATGCCACCAGCTACCAGGAGGGGTCAGCACAGCCTCAGAAAATGTCAGTCCCATGGGGCGTGGAGTGGGGAACCCCTGGCCAGGGGTTTGGGATTCTCTGCAGTGAGCAGCCTAAGGAGAGCACGCAGGACTGGGGCACGGAGCCAGCCCGGAAGGCTCTGGACGGGGCTGCCACCCGGGTCCGCCACAAAGAGCCACCACCACCTCCACCATGACTGATAGGTGCAAGCTCTGGGGAGGCAGGGAGGCACACCCAGCCTCTCTGGGCCTCATGGCCTCACCAGGACAGTGAGAAGTTAGACCAGGGTGGCCCTTTTGCAAGTCTCTTCTAGCTCTGACAGCTATGCTATGAGTGTTTTCCGACGAAAGAGGCTCCACCCGTGGTTGCAGCCTCTCCCCTTGGGTCATGAGCCCCCCACCCCAAGCTTAGAAGTCCATTTCGGGCCTCATTATACTACCCAGGCATCACATCTGGGGAGCCCAGAGGCTGGGCAGAGACAGGAATGTCAGCCCTCAGACCAAGGCAGAGCTAGTCTCCAAATGAGCAAGTCAAACCCAGTGGCAGCTAGTGTGGGGGCTCCCCAGGCTGCCTGACCCTTGTCACCAGCTCACGGGCCATTCCTGCCCTCTCTGGGCCCTTGGAGACAATCTGAGCAGGTTCTATGCCTGTTGTTGTCAGACCTGGAAGGTGAATGGCCAGAGCTGCTCTGGCTTCAGGGCTTAGGGGCTTAGGGGGTTTGGGTTTGCAGTCTGGATGTGCTTCCCTACTCCCTGCAGCTCCTCCTCCTTGCCCTGGAGACAAAGCCAGCCCACTGTGCTCTAGTCACCTCCTCTCACACGCCCCCCTGCACCCCCCTGCGTCCTCCCCAGCCCGTGCTCCCAGCAGGCATCCTGGGCTCAGCTGCCATCCTAGGGCCACTGGTCTGTTGCCCTGTAGTAGACATAACCGAGAGTCAGTCCTTGAATTTCCAAAGGCCTGATAGTGTGTGGGATGGGGCATGGTTGCTGCATGGCTCAGATCTGTGCCCGTGGAGGACTTGGGGTCCTGCTCACCTTCTCTGCTTGGGGGCCGGGTGGGCCAGGCGCTCCAGCCTTGCCTGGGAATCCAGGGGGACCCTATATCAACAAAGGAGCGGATGAGAATGAGAGTGGGGCTGGAGGGACAGCTCCCCGTCCTTCTTCCTCCAGGTCAGCTTCACTGCAGTTAAAGTGAAGCATTTTGACTTCCTAGAAACACCACCTAGGAGCATTTCTGCTGGCTGGCCTGCTGCACCAGGGCCCACCCAGGAGGCTCTGCCCTCCAGGTCCTGGCTCCTGGAATCAGGCCTGGCCACCCAGGCCGTTCCTCCCATGCCTCTTCCCTCCCCAGGCCCATCTCCGTCCAGCCTGGCCTGGTCAGCCCTGCCCCTCCCAAATAGGATCACATCAGACAGAGCTGGCTTTGTGTTCTCACTCACCGGTGGGCCGGGAAAGCCTGGCTGGCCTTGAAATCCCTAGGGGGAAGAAGCAAGGGACAGTTTGCCACGCCGCCCACTCTCTCCCTCCTGGCTGCCCAGATGGAAAGAGTGACAGGGTGAAGAGGCTGCCTTGAGCCCTGGGGCCTAGCCCCTCCGCTCCGCCCAAGATGACCAGCTGGTGAAACACTAGTCACGAGGTGGGAGGTTACAACTCAAGGACGGGTGAGGGCTGGAGGCTAGACCTGGTTACCCCTCCACACGTGAGGGGGGCCACCAGGGAGAGGACCCAGCCCTTCCTCTGTGCCCACCCCCCGGCCCTCCCCCACTGTCAGGACAGCCAGCTACATCCTGCGGTCACTCACCTGGTCACCCTTCTCTCCTGAGTTCCCTTGGGGTCCTCGCTCTCCTCGGGGACCCTGTCACCACAGAAAACAATGCAGCTGGAACACAGTCTTTCTTCCCTTCGACCCCAGGGCTGGACCAGGACCAGGAGTCCCCATGTCCACAGTCCCCTGTCTCCTCCTTCACTCACCGCTGGGCCTGCGGGACCTGGGAGACCTTCAGATCCTGGTGGGCCCTGGGCAGACGAAGAGCAGAATCAGGCATTCTGACTGGGGGAGGTGGGAGGTCAGGGGATGGGGTGGGGGAACAGATTGTGGGGGGGGGGACAGAGACAGAGGCTCCCCTCTGTCTGACTGAATAAAGTAAATACACTTTCTACCTGTGCTGGGTTTTGAGGCCTCCTATGACCTGATACCAACCACCTTTCCCTGCTTCACTTCCCTCTCCCTGTCTTTTCTGCCTCACTTGGTCAGACTGCTGTTCTCTGAATATACTCTATGCATTCATACCCCTGGGCCTTTGCACAGCTGTCCCTTCTCCCTAGAATGCCTACCCTTCCCCCACCCTTTCTGGAGTTCTTAAAACCTTACCAAGGGATTAGATGGCTTCAATCTCTTCCCCCTGTGGGATTCCCCAGGACAGATAGCTATGTGCCTCCCCCACCCCTCACTCTATTCTGGGCTCAGCTCAAACAGCACCTCCCCAGAGAGGGCTACCGATCCTCTAATAGCACCCTGTACTTCAGCCAGTCCCTGACCCTGCTCTCTTTCCTCCATTGCTTTCTCATCATTTATATGCATTGGCTTATTCATCTGTTATCTGCCTCGCTCACTGGAATGTGAGCCCCATGAAGTCAAGGGGCACAAGTGCCTGTTTTATGCATTGTGGCACCCTCAGAATAGCCCAGCCCCAGAAGGCCCTTGAAGAATGTCTGTTATTGAGTAAATGCACATCAGGTCTGCTATATCCCACCCAAGCCTCACTGACATGTGGAGGGAAGGCAAGACTAAAGTTGGGCAGGGTGGTCACAGATGGACTTGGGGTCAAGTCCAGGCTCTGCCCTAACTCACTCACTAACTAGCTGCAGCATGCTGGGTGAGCCACGTCCCTTCCTGAGCCTCAGGGATAACCTCACTGATGTGATGTCCCCACCTGATAACAGCCCTTGCTCCTGCACTCACCCAGCCTGGAAGGGTGGCTCTGGGCTTGTGGCATCAGGCCAGGTTCCACTCTGGGTCTGGGGTCCCAGGTCTGGCCCTCCCAAGGCCTGCCCTGCCTGCCGGCCTGCCCGCCCACCTTTGCAGGGGAGGAGGAGGATCTCCTGAGGGCCGACTCCAGGCCCCCTGCCCCCTGGCAGCCTCTGCTAGCCCATTTCCACAAAACCTCCTGGGATCCTCTTTCTGGCCTCCCCTCAGCCTCCTCTGGGCAACCAGCCTCCACTGCCTGCTGCCTGCTGCCTGCGTGTGCGCCCAGCTGGAGCGACCCAGGGGGCAGGGAAGCTGGGGTCACATCTCTCCCTCCACCACTGCTGGGAAAGTCTCTGACGGCATTAGTGGTGGCGGTGGAGGTGGGGCAGGGAGCCACCTGACCCTGCGGAGCCCCAGAGCCCCGGCTTAGACTCACCGATTCTCCCTTCTCTCCCGGGGGCCCGATGTAGCCCCGTTCCCCCTTGATGCCCTGACAAGTGAGCAGAGAGAGAGCCGAATTAGCCCCGTGGCCCACCGTCACGGTGCTAATGCGAGGGGTGGAGACTGCAGCTGGCACACGCTGGCACCGGCACCGAGGACGAGGACGAGGGCTGGGGGAGGGGGGCGCCATGGAAAGCGGGGACATGTCCACCTAGCAGGCACCTGCCCAGGGTAGGCTTCTGGTGGTCTCCCCTGCTCTCCTGCCCCTCCCCCCAGGAGGCAGGTCCCAGGCTGGGAGCTGGGCGCTCTGAGAGCCTGGCACCTCAGTTTGCAGTGCCCAAGTGGGGTGGCAGGGCCAAGCTGCTCTGTCACAGGGGCTTTGGGGAGCCCTGCACTGACAGCCTGGCAGAGGCACAGGCCAAAATGCTTAGGCGGGAGGGATCCTGCTGGGGAGATGCATCAGCCTGCTCCCACCCCGACCACCACCCCGAGGCTCTGCTAAGCCACGCCAGCATCCCCATACTCACGGGCAGTCCTGGGGGGCCCATGGCACCTGGGTAGCCAGGTTGCCCTGGAGGACCCTACAAAGAAAGGTTGACATTATGGACCAGCCCCTCAACATTTCTGTCTACCCCACCAAGGGCAAATAGAGTAGCCATAGCCAGGATGCCCATTCCAGGGCAGCCACCACCCTGGGCCAGCACGCCCCCAGAGGCCCAGGTTCCTTTGCCTGAAACCGCCACCAAGAGCCTGGGGCTAGGTGACAGGGCCAGCCCGGCCAGAACCCTGGGAGCTGAGCCAGAGAAAAGGCCCAGAGCAGGGAGGATGAGAAGGGGAGTGGGAAAGTGGGGCGTGGAAGGGCCAACTGAATGCTACAGGAGGAGGATGGAGGGAGGAGCCCCCAGGAAGCTGCTGGAAGCCAGGAAGGGGGGCTGTTTGCCCCTTCCAGGGAGTCAGGGCACTTGGAGTTCAGCCTCCTTTGATCCTGATGGGGTGTGAAGACCCCCAATCCGAGGGTTCAGGGCAGACAGTTTCAGGAGTCGGCCTCCCATCGTCCACTCGGCAACTATCCCTGAGGGCCCACCTTTGCCTCCCCAGGGCTGCTCACCATCTCCTTCCCCAGCGGCCAGTGCCTGCTTACCGGTTCTCCCTTCTCTCCTGTCGGGCCCCTGAGGCCTCGCTCCCCTTGAAGACCCTTGGAGAGAAAAATCATGAGGACCTGCCAGGGAGGGCAGTCCCCACCCAGCCCCCAACTCCTCTTCCCTGTCCTGCAGCCTTCCATCCCCAGGCCAGCAGGGCTGGGCATTGCTGATGCCTCCACTCCAGGGTCCCCAGCAGGGTGACCGTGGGGTATACCCCAGAAGGATAACTGTGAGAGGCATAGACTCCCACCTAGGAGTACCTCTAAGAACATACCCCCCAAGACAGGTAACTACAGAGATATGCTCCCCCTCCCCAGGTAGGTGACGCTCAGAGGGTACCTCTCAGGCAGGTGACTGTCACTGATGTGCCCTACTTCGGGAACTGGCTGGGGTGTATCTTTAGGGGGTTGACACGTGTGTGCTCCCCCAAGGGGCAGCTGTCAGGACAAGTATCCCTCTGTGATGTTCTGCTACCAAAATGTATCACTGGAAACCCAACACTTACCTGTACACCCCCACCCCCAGCCACAAGTCACCTTCTTTTAGGGATGCAGGGGAGAGACATGGGAAGGCCCCCAGAGCAGCCTGCTCCCTCCAGAGCAGTCACTGTCACTTTTTGGGGTGGAAAGGGGTATCACTTTCCATCAAAGCCAGAGCCCCCACCCCTCACCTGACCTTTGGGGGCTGACCTTTGTGGATTCGCCACAGCATTAAGGGGCTGTGTCTGTCCCTTCTCTCTCGTGCCCTCACGAGACGGTGCCCAAACCTTTCCACAACACAAGACAGATGGCTAGACGGACAGATGGCCCCTTCACCCAAGCAAGCAGAAACAGACAAGGTCCGGCCAGGATGAGGACGTGGGGACAGATGGAGCTGTGACAAGGCAGGGCCCTGCTCCCTGAGCCTCCATCACCAGGCCTGGGAGGAGAGGAGCCAGGCCCCAGGAACACCAAATCCGACAAACAGGAGGTTAGTTTCCGTGACCCAGGACGGAGCAACAGTGAGGCTGGGGATGATTTAAACACACTTGTGACGATGACGAAGGCAGAGCAATTAACGACACCTGGCAGAAGGCGCAGACCCGGGCGCCGGGCGCAGAGGGACAGGGCCCCACGACACCCAGAAACCCGACTGGCTGGCATCACACGCCCAGCCTTTGGAGCAGCAGACGGGGCCTGGAGCCAAGGAAGAGGAGAGGAAGAGGAGGAAGCTGCGAGGTTCCTCTAGGACGATGGGAAAGGTGCAAGCAGGGCTACCTTTGGATCCCTGGGGTGCCCGTGGACGGCCCTGCTGAGCAGCGGGGCAGCAACCTGTGCCAGCCTGCAATGTGAAGCCCTAAAGCTTTGGCATCTCTGCCGGGCTCTGTGCCAGGTGCCTGGCAGGGCCCCAAGAACTACTTCCAGCAAATCTTTAGTCAACAGCAAAGGTGGGAGAAGCAGGAGGCAGAAGTGAGAAGGGAGGAATCAAGAGGCCCCTAGAGGCACCAGCTTCAAATAAGAAGGTGAAACAGCTCCCCGGCCTGGGTTGGGGGAGGGGGGGCAGTGATGTGGGTTTGGGGGGGAGAGAGAAAGGAGACCATGGGCGGGGGAGGGTGGGGAGTTGATGAAAGAAGCAGGAGCAGAGGGAGAAGTGAAGGAAGTCAGAGACTTGGGAAGATGTCCAAGCGGCTGGGCCCTCAGGGAACCTGTGTCGTTATGTGCCTGCAGGGACCAAAGACAAACATGGAGGGGGGAGGGGGGAAGGGGGAGGAGGGAGGGGGAGGGCTCCACAGGAAGGGAGACAAGCAAAAGCCACAGAGAGCTGGCTGGCGATGGTGGGGGGAGGCTGAGCAGTGCTAGGTTCTTACAGGCAATCCGGGGGAGCCAACAGCACCAGGAAAACCTGGAGGGCCCTGGTGGGAGAGACAGGCAGGTCACAACTCATAAGCACAGTCACCCTGGGCATCGTCTGGGGCAGGGGGTCGTGGGGAGAGGAGATCACAGGAATATTTCCAAGGTGGCTGGAAAAGAGACTCATTGAAGACACCCGCTCCTCCCCTTGGCTCCAGTAAGAATGGCTCTGCCATCAGCAGAGATAAGAAATAGCCCCCAGAGTCAAAGGGCCCTTGCCAAGTTCTCTCGAGTCCAGCTGGACAACACCCTTGCTGGGGTGCAAGCCCATCACGCCAGCAACCTGACCTCCAGATGCCCCCAGCTGGGTGGCTCCCTGCTTCTAAGGTGACTGGCCACCAGCCACTTGTTCTCCAAAGAAAGCATTTTTGGTTCTTTCCGTCTTCCCTGATCACTTCTATTTTCCTGCCATAGCAACTCCATGGAGGACTCCAGGGGAGACATCCCTGGTCTGGCCTCTGTAGACCTGCCCTAGAGATGGCCCTACAGAGCAACATGGGGCAGTTCTGTGTTAGCCCCTAGCCCCTGTAGCGACTGGTGGCGTGGAGGCATGAAGGAATCTGGTCAGGTTGCCACACTCTTTCCTGGCAGCCAAGACCACAAGCCAGAAGTCTAGGCCCTCCCGCTGGGGAGCGTGGGACCATTGTGTAGGACAGTGTAGGGATGGGGACAGGGAGACAAGCGTGTGCCCTTGAGGGCCTCCCCCTAAGCAGGACCATAGGCAGAGCAGGATGGAGCAGGCCAGTTCCAGGGGCTCGGGTGGTGGGAGTCCACAGTCCCCACCGATGCTCTGAAGAGGGAAAGGAGTGGGCAGTAGAATTTCCCTCCTTCTGCCCTGCCCAGCTGCCTGGATACAAGACAGAAGAATGGTGTCTGGGCATCAGGACCCTTTCAAGAGCTTCTCAAGTGGACCAGGAAACCATGGATACTTACAATAGGGCCTGGAGGACCCGGGGAGCCCCTCATGCCAGGCGGACCCTGCAAAGGAAGCCAAGGGAAATGGAGGAAGAGGCTCAGGCCCCCACAGAGCCCCAGGATCTCTGCAGCCTTCCTCCCAGCTCACCACAGCCAGAGTCAACAGAGGGATGGCAAAACAGGGCCATTTTAGCTGATAGTACACCTTTCATTCAGTTCATTCAATCATCCAACAAACATTTATTGAGCAGCTATTACGTCCCAGGCACTAGCCCAGGTGCTGGGTACACAGCAATAAACCAAACATAAAAAATCCCTGCCTTGTGGCACTGACAGTCTAGGGGAGAGGTGGACGGTAACGAATAAAACAGGGGCTGGCATGTGGTGCCCAGCAGATGCTGAGATGTATTTCCTAAATAAATGAAATACATAGTATTCAGAGGGTGACACGTGTACTGCATGGACAAGAGGTTTTAGGGTTGGTGGGGGGTGGTCAGTTTTCTTTTCTTTTCTTTTTTTTTTTTTTTTTTTTGGTGGTCAGTTTTCAAGATGTCAGGAGAAGTCTCCCTGAGAAAGTGATCTTTGTGCAAAGGGTGGAAGGGGCAAAGGAACGAGCCCCAGAGAAGAGATGCGGGCAGGCGAAGCAGCTGGCGGGAGCAGAAAAGTGTCCTCTGGGCCAAGAGCGGCCAGTGTGCCAGCAGAGCAAGGGAGTCAAAGCCATGAGATATGCCAGGTGACCTGAGACTCAGAGCCCCCCGAAGGACTCCCAAGAGACAGGGCGCCACCGGAGGGCCCAGGAGGACATTTGGCAGGAATGAAACCCACCCCCAGGACCTGAAGGCCACTTGCGTGGAGAAACCAGCCCCCTTGGAGCCCTGCCCAGACAAGGGCCCGGCCGAGGCCTTACCTCTTCTCCTCTCTGGCCGGGCAGTCCCGGAGGACCGGGCAGGCCGGGGCTTCCAGCACAGCCTGGATCCCCCTCACCGTTGTCTCCCTGGAGTGGGATGAGGACGGTGAGCTGAGCAGCCAGGGCCCTCCCTGGGAGCCCCGGGCGCGGGCGAGGAGCAGGGGCCACTCACCCGGGCCTCCTCAGCTCTTGGGCGCTCCCGCTCCGCGAAGCACTGAGGAGGACAAGAGGCCCTCCGTCAGGTGAGGCAGCCGAGCGCTCTCCCTCCACCAGGCCACCCCAGAGCCCAGCCTCCTACCCGGGCACAGCTGTCCAGGCCTGGCACGCCGGGGATACCCTGGTCTCCCTTTTCTCCTTTTTCCAGGAGCCCCACTGGGTGGGCTGTCTGCCCCTGGACACAGTCCCCGCAGATGCTCTGACGAGAGAGACAGGAGAGGGCAGCGGGGCATGGGTCCCAGAAGGCCAGGGCGGGCCGAATGGGGGAACCCCACCCCGAGCTCAGCCAGGGCGCCCTGCCCGGCCGTCCCCCCTCCCCTCGCCCACACACTCTCTCTCTCCCCAGCCACATCCCTGCGGTAGCTTCGCTCCATCCTCAGGGGACCCAATCCCAGCACTGGCTTTGAGTTTCCTCCAGGAAGCAGCTCTGTGGGGCCAAGCCAAAGCCACTTTCCAGACAGGCGTGTGGGAGGAGGCGGAGGGGCCCGCAGAGGGACCATCTGTCCCGGCTGTTCCTGCAACCTGCACCCACTGTGAGGACACGCCACGAGGATTCAGGCTGAAAAGGCCGGCTCCAACCACAGCTTCTCTGCCCAAGGGTGCAAAGGAGCAGCTGCAGGAGGAGCCAGGCCCTTTGCAGACACCCTCTGGGATGTGGCTTGCCCTCCTGCCCCAGTAGATCCTGACTGTCATGGGCTCCTTGGTTCACCCATCTGTGGAGGAGTGTCCCTGGACCTCTGGGCAGGATCTACGTTCACTGTTCAATGCAGAGCCCAGTGATAATGGCTGGCATTGACTCAGCACCCATGATGCCAGCCATTGTAATAGGCCTTTGCACATTATCACATTCGCTCCTGACAGTGCAATGAGGCAGGTAATCTTATAAGCATTCTGGAGATGAGAAAGCCGATGCTCAAAGAGACAGTGTGACTTGTCTCAGGTAAGTGGGAGCCTGTGCTGGACTCTGCTCTGCTTAGGTCTGAGGTGGCACTCTGTCCACAGGCCAAGGCTTCCTCTGGGGTGCCATCTGACCCCTTCTCCAGACCACACACTCAGTTCCAGTTTGAGGTCCTCCACAGAGCACTTGTCGAATCCTGCATTTGGAGTCATGCAATCACCTGCCTAGGGGCAGGACTTGGGGTATCCTCGGCTTGCCAGGAGCCAAAGGGAGAAGAACTGGGGCTTCATTGCCACACTCCATGGTGATCCAACCTGCAGCTGCTGTCAGAAGGTTAATCTGACAGGAAGCTACTTCTGGAGACATCTGCTGTCCAAAGCAGGGGCCGGGTGGGTGGTGGCAGGGCAGGCAGTCCTCATGCTCTGGCCTAACCAGGCCCTCGGGGATAGCGGGAGGTCCAGGGCTCTGGCTGGCCAGTACTAGAAGGGGGTGACCAGGATGGCGGGGGCGGGGGGGAGCTCTGGAGAAACCCCGGAGGATGTAGAACTGGTGGAGAGGAGAATCCAGGTCTTGTTTCCAGAGGCGACTAAGCACAGGAGGCCTGTGTCACCCTCGGTGCCAGATGCTTGGAAAACGCATGTTCCCCCACCAACAGCCCCATCGTGTCTGCAGCTCTCCCTGTGTGGTGCTGAGCACTTCCCACAGCGATCCCCTTAGGAGGCTTCTCTGCCAATTCCTCCTCCTTTCCTCTTACTCTCTTACCTTAAGGAGGTGCTGTTCGATTGGTAAGGACCCCTGCAGGAGACAAGATGGGAGGGCTCAGGCAGGTGAGGGGAAGGGGGTCGGGGACTGATGGGATCAGAAGGAGCCGTGGGGAGCCACAGGCCACCCTGGCTTCTCCATGCCTTGCAGGAGGGAAGGAAGAGGGCCCCCACTGCAGCTAAGGGAGCTGGCACAGGCAAGCTCGGCCCTGAGAATGTACCGGGGAGGGGGCTGCACAGGGCCCACAGTGCCCCACCAGTACCTACCAGTTCAGCGGTGAGCCCAGGCTGTCCAGGCAGACCAGTGTTTCCAGGCAATCCCTGACGCCAAGAAGATACTGAGTGAGTGGACTTGAACCCGAAGGCCACCCTGCCTCGTGCCCACCATCCCCACTGCCCCTTCTCTTCCTGCAGAACCGAGAGCCCGGCAGGTGCAAGGCTGGCATCCATCCTTAGCTCAGAATCTCCAGACCGTTTGTGGGGACAGTTGAGGAGGTCCAGAAGAGTGACCCCCCCCCCGCAAAACCAGTCCAGCAGGGAGTTAGAGGAACGTCCAAGTCAGGCAGAGGGGCTTCTACATCATAAGTAATGACATTTCTTTCTCATACAGCTCCTCTATAATCTCATTGAATCACAGTGTTGGTGATTCAATGAGATTGAATGCAGAACAAAGACTTCAGAGAGGCTAAGTAACTTGCCCAAGGTCACAAAAAGAGCAAAAGGCAGAGGTGAGATTTGGAGTCAAGACCACTGACTCTTAACCACGATTCCAGCACCTTCCACAAAAGACATTCCCCAGAACACCTGTGGACACAGCAAGGTGGGGGCTTGGGAGCCAGACCTATGCAGGTGTAAGCCCCTTACTACTTCACTGGAAATTTCTGCCAGCTTAGTTGGAAAAAAAATCTCTGTGCCTCAGTTTCCTTATCTGTGGAACAAGGATGGTTTACAGTGAGGCATAAAGGACACCGTGAGTGTGAGGAACTCAGGTGAGGTGTTTGCCACATGGACTCCCTGTGACCCCTGTGGGCTCTCAATGCACATTTGCATATTAAATACCCCACGGAGGCCTGGGAGTATGTTCCAGACACAGAGGAGGCGTGCATTAAATACGTGTTGAGTGAACGCACCACCGCACACCCGGCTCTCCCCGCTCGGGAATTCCTTGGCCAGTACTGAGAGCTGGCCTCCCTTCAAGTCCCAGCTCCCAACGACAGAAGAACATGCCACCTTCCCCTGCGAGCCCTCCCTGCTCCAGGCCAGGCCCTACCAAGGCCCAAGGGGACTGGCGTCAGCCTCCCTCCCACAAGCTCCTGTGCCACTAGTTCTGCATCCTGAGTGGGTTCACAGGGTAACAGGCTGAGGACAGTGCCTGGCACAGGGAAGACACCATGAACCTGTTCGTGATCCTCATGCACCTAAATTAATCTGCCCTGCTCCACCTGCCATTGCCCGTGGGTTAGCTCAAGCCTGATACTTGGTTGACTTCCCTCCCCTGCCCTCCTAGAACTAAATGTCCCACCTGTTGTCCTACCAGAGAAGCCAAGAGCTACCCACTCACTAGCTACTATGTGGCCTCAGGCACATTGCTTGACTTCCCTGCCTCAGTTTCCCCTTCTGGGAAATGGATGGAGGCTTACAAGAAATTACATTACTTGAGCAAATAAATGCTCTCTCTCTCTCCCGGCCCATTTCTGAGCCTGAATACAGGAGCTGCTGGGCCCTCCCTTCCTTGAAAGGACTGCAGGGCCGACATGACAAGGAAGAGCCATATCTTGCCTGGCACAGGGCAGGTGCCTATTCATGGCAGCCTCGGCTTAGTCTCCGGCACTGGCTCAGGGCGAGGACTCCAGTGCCTGGGACCAGACTCTGCAACTACTCTTTTCTGCCTTGTTCTCCACCCGCATCTCTTGGCAGGGTTCACACTCCATCAGTGTGTTAATGGGTCACTTTGCAATGACTCTCATGCTTCCCCAAGCAAACTGCAAGACCCCTGCAGACAGACTCCCATTTCCTGGCGGTGCAGCAGGATGCTGGGGCACTTGGTAAATGTGTGCTTGGCCCATGGGGGACTGAGAGTTGGCTCTAGTTCTGAGCTCTTGATGAGACAGAGAGAATTGGATCCCGGCAGAGACTCCCATCAGCAATGGGGACTCATCAGAACAGATTCTCACCCCCAGGGTGGCAGCGGGGGATGTATAAAATCTCCAGGGTGGGAGGTAGGGGGTAGGGGAGCAGTTTGTAAAAAGCTTCCACGTGATTTTGCTCTGCTTTCTTCAGGAGCTGGGAGCCAGATATGCAGAAGCCACTGCCTCTCCCTCCTAGGACCTTCAGAGAATGGGACCTGGTCTGTACGCTGCTGGGGAACTGTCCTGCAGGTCAGCGGCAGCAAGGAGAAGATGCCTGGCACCAGGGAAGCCCAGTCCAGCGCTGCCAATTCCTAGCCACACGACCTCAGGGAAGATACTTCACCTCTCGGAGCCCATTTACCCAGCTGAGACTTAGGGATAACACCATCTGCCTATCAGAGTTGATGTGAGACTCAAATGAACGAGAGAATGGATATAAAATAATAAAAGTCATCACTGGCCTAATGATGGCTAATGCCTCCTAAGCATTTACTATGTGCCAGGCACGGTTCTACATGTTTTGCACATGTTAACTTGTTTAAAATTCACAAAGGCCCCATGAGGTACATGCTGTAATTATCTCCACTTAACAAATGAAGGAAGTGAGACAGAAAGGGTGAGTAACTTGCCCGGCATCACACAGCTAGCATGCGGCAGAGCTGGGATTCAAAGTCAGGCTGACGGGCTCTGGAATGCACTCTCTCATCACTGTGCCACACGGATCTCCACTCCCACTGCTCTCCCTTCCCTGTCTCTGGCCTCCCTGCTATTCCCCCAACTGTCAGGCCCAGTTCCGCCCCCAAGCCTTTGCACCTGTCAGGAGCTCTCCCTCACAGGCCTACTCACTCATTTCCTCTAAGTCTGGATTCTTTCCAACCCTCTTCTCAAACATCTTCCTTGCCCTCCTCCTACTTTCTGACCCCACACCCTGCTTTATCTTCCTCCTCACCACAGATCACTTTCCAACAGGTTGTATTCCATTTTATTTCTCTATCTTGCCTATTGTCTGCCTCACTTACTAGAATGTGTTCTCTAAGAGGGCAGGGATTTTTACTTTTGCAACCTGCTACGGTACCAGCACCTAAAATAGTGGCCGGAGCTTAGTGGATGTGCAAAGATATTTGTTGCACAAATGAATGTCGCACGCTGCTCCAGAACACTGGAGCACCACATGAGCGTAAAGGATTGTTGGACCCAGATTCTGGGTTCCTGACAGCTGACCAAGGGCTGAGCTTGGCCCGAGAGTCAGTAGGGTGTCTGGGCCAACACACAGCAGGGTGTTCCTCAAGAAGGAGGGGACTGCCCACAGCCTGCCCTAAGGGATCAATGGCCCTCTTCCCATGCCGCTCTGGGGAGCAGGAATGGAGAGGAGTGAGGATGGCATGCATAGGTGTTGGGTGGAGGCGCAGCACACAGCCCAAGCCCTGCCACCCTGCCACCCTCCCTCCCAAACTCCCATTCTCTCTCCCCTTTTACCTGTAGCCCAGGCATTCCAGGAGGGCCAGGTGGTCCGGGAACCCCTGGGGGACCCTGAGAGAGAAAAGAAGCAATCAGACCCAAAAGAAAGCTCTGCCCCACTGCTGGGGGGCAACAGCATTAGGGTGGGCAAGCCGTGGGGTGCTGGCGGACACGTGGAGACAGAGGAGACAAGCGACACACACCTGCGGGCCCGGCTGCCAGGAGCTGCCCATCCAAAGTCCCGGAGCACCCTGGGTGGGAGTGGGGGTCGCAAAAGAAGGGAGAGGTTATAGGCAACGTCCACACCAAGCGCAGGGCTGCGTGGGGAGGCAGCTGGCTGGGGCGCAAAGCCCTGCGGGGGCCCTTGCATGTTGAGCCAACACAGGAAGCCAGGCCTCGCCCCGGCTGGGGAAAGGGCTTCAGTACCACTTACCGGCATGCCAGAGAAGATGGGATCCCCCCGAGAGGGGCAGGAACACTCCCCTGGCTCGCCCTGAAAAGACAAGAGCCTTTGTCAGAGTGGGGGCAGGGGGCAAGGATGGAGGACCTTCTGGAAACCAACATCTGAGAGGCAGCCTGGGTTCTAGGATGAAGAGGCCAGGGTTTAAATCCAGGATCTGCCTCTTATGACTGTGTCCTTGGGCAACCTGTTCAACCCTCTCAAACCTCAGTGTCCTTATTTGTAAAATGAGGGCAATAGCACCAAATGCAGAGACTGTCAGGAGGGTGGAATGGATGAACGTACAGAGTTCCTGTCACTGGGAAGCCCTCAGCCCCAAATTCTGGCTTCTGGGTAAGCCCCAAGTACTGTAATTCCTGTTGGTTTGGGTTCAGCGTCAGTTGCCACACAGGTGTTCTGCCTCCAGGACACTCACGGCTTGGCCACTGTTGTCGCGCTCCCCTTGGCCGGGCCCCGTCCCCCAACACCTCTGCCCTCTCGCCACTGGTCCTCCCCAACTTAGCTCCTGCCCTGGCCTCTGACTTAGGCCCCATCTGCAAGTGCAGCTGCCCCTATGGGTGCCTTGGAGCTCTCTGGGTCTCCCAAGATCCTGGCTGTGCCCTGGGCCAGCAACCAGGTGAAATGAGAAATGTTTGTGCAGGGCCCCTGTTTCCTGGAACCAGGGAGCTGGGGGTAGCAAGGAGACCAGGATGACTCCTCAGCCTCCATTCCCCATTCCAGAGCCAGTCCCATGTGTACAGATTCCCTGGGGGGCGGGGCTACTATTAACCTCCCCACAGTATTGGCCACAGGGCCTTGGGACTCACCTTCTCTCCCTGAGGTCCCTTTTCACCCTGCAGGGAAGAAACACAGCGAAGTGAGTAGATGGGGTGTGGAGGTGAGACTCCCCCTGCTAGAGCTTCCTGCTGCCCTGAGACATCATACTCACTGGCATCCCCCTTGCTCCTGGAAGTCCAGTTTGTCCTTGCTGTCCATCGGGGCCCTGAAGGGAGAGAGCCTAGGGTCAGTGGTGAGCCTGGTCTGCAGCCAGCCACGGGGCCCACCTGTAGGGGAGGGCGATAGCCCATGTCCTGGAAAGAAGGGCCTCTGGTGCAGGAGACAAGAAGCAGAGGAAGGAGGATACGGGCATTTCCTGAGCACCTTCTGGGTGTCAGGCACCGGGCCAAGTGCCTGTCACACAACAGAGTGGGATCCCCCCTTCCAGCCTTGCAGGACAGTACTGTTCTGCTTTACAGGTGAGAAAACTCAGGCTTCAAGAAATGTTGTAATAGATTCCCCAGCACGACTGCACCCAGCTACAGGAGACCCGAGGTCCCCTCTCCCTCTCTCTCTCTCTCTCTCTCTCTCTCTCTCTCTCTCTCTCGTTCTCTCTCCACCCCCACTTAAGCGCTTGACACACACTCTGTCCTCTGTCACAAAGGTTACCTCCGATGACTTAGAGACAGGAATTTCTGCTTTTATTTTTCACCAAGAATTTGGAGACTCTGAAAGGCTGTCACTCATGTTGGGTCACACCACGAGCACAGTGTGGCAGGCGCCCCGGCAGTCCAGCTCTACCGGGCCACACAGACTGGCTGTGTGGACATGGGGAGGTTCCTGGCCCCTCTGGGCTTAGGGCTCCCTCAGGGGGCTCTATCAGTGATTGCCAAACTGGAACGGAAATTTCTCTAGGGATCCATAAAGACAGAAAATATATCCTTCACTGGGCTATTTTCAACATTACCAAAAGCCCAAGGAAATTACACATTTGCTCACGACCTGGCATGGCACAGGCTGGCTGGAAGGTAGTGTTTCTTTGATTTAGGCTAGAATTATACCATCTCGTACAAGTCTAGTAGGTTCATGTGGAGTGGAAGCAGACTATTATACAGGTATCTGATGAATGAAAGTGAGCAAATGCATTTAATATTACTTAATCTATGTGATTTGTTCAATAGACACATCTTTTAAAACGGAATCATTATTGGGACGGTCATAAAGAGAGGTCTTTGAGGGTAATGAAGTTGAAAGTATTGCTGGTCTCGAGATACCTGTGCTGTCCAGTAGGGTAGCCCATAGTCACGTGTGCTTATTTAAATTTAAATTAACTAAAATTATATGAAATTTAAAATTTAGCTCCTCAGTTACACTGGCCACAGCTCGAGCACTCAAGAGCCACATGTGGCTAGTGGCTACCCACTCGGGCAGAGCAGAACAGAACATTTCCATCAGCGTGGATAGGTCTATGGGGCAGCAGCCATTTAGAGATCCCCCAAGACCCAAGGTCTGAAGTGGGGGGTGGGTGAGTTAATATACATGCTTTGCGACAGGCAGACCTGGGTTCAAGTCCTGACTCTGACTCCTCACCCTCTGGCCTTCAGCTTCCTCATCTATGGAACAGGGACGATCATAGCCACTCCCTTACTGGGATATTGGGAGGTTTAAGTGAATCTCTGTTGGTCTAGAGCTTAGCACTAGGCTAAGCTGTCACTGCTCCAAAAATTGTGATGATAAGTAATGTCCGTAGTCAGGTGCCCCAGTCCAGGCAATGTGGCCCTCCTTCTCGGAGGCTGGGCTTCTTTCCTCCCATGCCCCATGCTGCCGGCCCCGGTGGGGTCAGCCCCATGCCCTTTTCCCAGCAGCAAGAGCCTTGGCCCCAGCAAGACATCCAGCACAGCGTGCAGAGAGGACCCTTACCGGAGGCCCAGAGACACTGGCACCAGGGGGCCCCACAGGCCCAGCAGCTCCTTTCAGCCCCAGAGATCCCTATAAAAGAGAGGACACAGAGGCTAAAAGGGGCACCAGGCAGCTGAGATGTATCAGACCAGGTCTGGGGTGGCCCTGTGATAGGCATGTCACAGGTCCTGTGCCCCTGTCCCCTCTTCCAGGGCATTCCAAAGGATCTCAGGGTTAGTGCCTTATGAGGCAGAGGTTCACCTTGGCGCCCTTCTCTCCAATGGGACCAGGAGGCCCTCGAGGTCCTGGAAATCCCTGCAGATGGAAGCGCAGTTGGTTAACCCCTACCCTAAAGTGACCCCTTCCCACTCCCCACCCCAGCCTCCTCCAGGCCCAGAGCCGACGTACCTGAATGCCAGGCAAACCCTGGACTCCAGGTTCCCCCTGCAAGTCAGAAAAGACAGAGTGGGCCACAGCTGCCTGAGCCAACCTGTCCCACTGACATACCTGGTCAGGGTGGGGAGTCTCAAGAGAGCTCCCCAGGAAGACTGAGGATGAGAGAGGCAGGGGGCAGGGGGCAAAGGGAAGATCCTCCACAGAAGTAATGGCAGGCCAGGGCTGCTGCCCAATTCCTTATCTCAGAGCTGTGCCCTTGAGCATCTGAGGGCAAGCAGAGCTCTGTAGCTGGGGAGATGGATAGGAGCGGGCAGCTGGCTAATGGAAGTGCTGAGGGGTCTGGGGGCAGGTAAGCAAAGGTAAGGCTAAAAACTCACCTGGGGCCCTTGGGCTCCCTTTCCTGGAGACCCAGGCTCTCCCTGAAGAGGTAGAAGGACAATCCTTGGCTTGAGATTCCCCACTCACCCTTAACACGTTTTTCTCCAATCTCTTCCCCTTAACCTCTTCACTTCCATCTCCTCCTACCCTGTAGCTGATCTTCCCCACTCCAGGCCCAATGCCCCCATGTGTCTGCCCACCCCGACCCCTCACCACACATACCTGCAGCCCAGGCTCCTGGGACCAACACATACCTGGATGCCCTTCAGTCCTGGGGGCCCTTGAACTCCAGGTAGACCAGGCTGGCCCTAAAAGATACAGGTGGCCCATGGGTCCCGCAGGTGGAAGAGAAGGCAAAGCTCAGGCAGGGAAAGACCAGAGGGTGGGCAGCTGGAACTCACCGGTTTACCAGGCCGGCCCACACCTTCTGGGCCTGGTTCTCCTTTAGGGCCGGGCTTCCCAGGCAGTCCCGCCGCATTCGTCACTGCTCCCTGCAGGCTGGGGCAGGCGCTGCACCCGTCACCCTGGTCAGAGACACAGCCAGGAGCCCTGAGCCAGGGCTGACAGCCAGGCCAGCAGCAGGCATCAGAAAGGGAGCCCTTGTGCCCCTTGAGAGCTCTGCCCACCCACTGCCTCCGCCTTGGTCTGGGAAATAAAAACAGCCGCTGACACTCCTCGCCTTTCTCCTGCCTGCTGGGGAGAAGGGCTGAGGCCTCTCCACCCGGTGACTCTGGTATCCTGTAAGGCTCACAGCTTGACTCTGCAGTCCTTCCCCTCGTTAGCTATCAGGCTGATTTTTTTTTTTTTTTAATAATCAGGCTGATTATTTTTTTGCTCATGCAACAAAACACCCCCTGCCCAACCCACCTTTTCTCCTTTAGGGCCTACGGGGCCCCGAACGCCAGGCTCTCCTGACAGGCCCGGCTGCCCCATGGTGCCTGGCACTCCAGGATCTCCAGGATTCCCAGCATCACCCTGGAAGGAGTAGGGTTCACGGAGGGCAGAGGTGACCCAGCTGGGGGCCAGACTGCCCTCTCGGGGACTAAAGGCACTCGGAGCCCTCCAACTGGGCTGAGGGCTGTGCAGGGAGTGGGGAGTAGGTGCGGGGCAATCAGGAAAAGGAGGTGGCAGGCTCATCAGACAGGCAGTGCCCCCCCCACGCGCACAAGGTTCTCACCTTCTGCCCCTTCAGTCCACGCTCTCCGGCCCTGCCCTGGGGAGAAAGCATTTCTAGCACCCATTCACTCACAGCGGACACCCCTAAACGTCCGGCACTGTCAGACCCAGGGAATACAACAGTACGGAACACAGACCAAAATCTCTGCCCTGTTCTAGGGAAGCAATACTGTAGAGATTAAGAGGAGAGACGAGCCAGGGACCTGCCTGGGTATCCCCGGGCAAGTTACTTAACCTCTCTCGGTTTGCTTATCTGTCAAAGGGGATGATAAAAATGCAGCTGGCCTCTCTCCTGAGAGTCCCTGTGCGGTTAGACGAGCTAGCACACGTGAAGCAGCGCGTGGCACAGAGCGTGCACTATGTCAGTGCTCGCTGCTATCAGGAAAGCGGTAACAATAATTGGCCCCGCGGTAACTATCACTTTCTGAATGCCTATTGTGTGCTGCCAAGTGCTTCACACACATCATTCCTAGGCTCCACGGCGCCACCATACAGAGGAAACAGGCACAGAGAGGAAAGGGAACTGGCTCAAGTCATAGAGTGAGGAAAAGGCAGAAAAGAGTTAGAATTTAAACTCAGGCCCGTCTGGTCCCAAGTTGGTGCTCTTTACACCCTGCCAGGCTGCATCCCAGGGTGAAGGGCTGAGGTCCCTGAGGCCAGCTGCCTCTGGTTGACCCTTCCGCCCACTCCCAGCTCCTCCCCACTGTCCAGGGAGCCAAGAGACCCAGGCAGGGATCCCTCCTCACTTTGAGCCCCACCTGCAACAACCTGGGAACTCACTTGTTTTCCTGGCAAGCCGAAGCCTGGAGGCCCAGGCTCTCCTTTGTCTCCAGGAGGACCAGGCAAGGCCACCACATAGCCATCCTCATCCTGAGGCTTGGACAGGGCTGGGCACGGCTCACAAGGCTCCCCCTGCCAAGCCAGGACACAGGGTTGGGGGATCCCGAGCCAGGCTTGGAATCTGGGGCTGAGGAATAGACCTGGGCCCAATATGGCACGTCTGCTGGGTGAGGGATATCTCAGGAGAGATTTCGGGAGGACGGGGAAGAAATGAAGGTGGGAGCCAAATGATCAAGGTCTCGAACGCCATGCTAAGGAAGAAGATGTTACCCTCAGGCAGTGGGGAGCCTCAAAGGGCTTGAATTAGTACACGAAGTTCTCCCCACTGCAGGTTGGAGCATATCTCCTGACTCACCTTCTCCCCTTTGGTGCCTGTGGGTCCCGCTGGCCCTGGTGGCCCCTGTGTGATTAGAAAAAAGGCCATGTGTGAGGCCTAGCACCTGCTCGGGCTATGCTAGGGCACAGCCCAGGTCTGTTGTCCCCGCAGCAGCAGGCAGCACCTCCCACGTTTCCCTCTCCCCAGAGCTGTCATATGCCGAGCACACTTACCTGGCGGCCAGCTGGCCCTGCCTCCCCAAAATTACCCTGAGGACAAAGCAGAAAACATGGGGTCAAAGTAAGGAGGCATTACAGGTGCTGAGTCAATCCCAAACCACAAACCGCAAAAGTAGCCTGTGAGGACTGCTAGACTACCTCTCTCCCTTCCTGGCTAGGGACACTGAGGCCTAGGGCGGCCAGGGGACTTCCCCAAGGTCCCCCAGAGAGTCTGTGGCAGGCTCCTGCCCCCAGCCTCACTTCCCAGAATCCCAGCCCCATACGCGGCCCTCACCCCGCACACAATGATCGTTAATTCAGTTATCCAACAGCCCTGCACCAGACACCTCCACATCTGTGCACGGGGCCAGGTGCAGGTCGGATGCAGTGAGCAGCATGCACGAACACCTCGTGGAGCTTACACTCTTGTGGGGGACAACCAGAACTTTTTAAGTTACCATAACAATAAACAGCGGTGAGTGCCAGGGAGGAAACAGGCAGGGAGATGAGATAGGGAGGCCGTTCTGGACAGGGTGGTCAGAGAAGAGTTGACCATGACTGTTCTCAGAAAGATGAGAATCAGGCCAGCCAGCAAAAGCACGGCAGGGGAGAGTAGAGAGGAAAAACATACTAGATGGTGGGAGTCACAAGTACAGAATCTAAGAGGCGGGAATAGTCTTGACGTGCTCCTGAGTGGAAGGAGGCTGAGAACCAGGGAGAGGAGGGCCAGGAGAAAGGCAGGCAGGGGCCGGCTGTCCAGGGTCTTGTAAGGCGTAGCAGAACTTTGGTACAGAGTCAGTCGTGAAGGATATTAAGCAGAGAAATAATGAAACCCAAGTTCTTTTTACAAGATCAGGTTATATTAGCTGCTGGATGACAAACAGGCCATGGACGGGTTTGGTGGGTGCAGCCTGGTGAGCCACGATGGGGCTCAGACCACGGTGGTGCGCATGGAGGTGGAGAGCAGCAGGGGACGTCACCAGAGATGCTGTTGGCAGGACTGTCAGATGGAGGAGCAGACAGGGATCTAGGATGCTGCAGGTTTGGGGCCTGAGGAGTGGGGGGAGGGGACATGCCATTTACTGAGGCTGGGACACCCCAGAGAGGAAGCAGCAGTGAGGCAGGGGTACAAAGCTCCATCTGAGAAATGACAGGTGTGGTTTGCCTGACAGAGCAGAGTCTAAACATATATTTCAGTGTTTGTCACCCTTGAACACTCGTCCACCCCCAGAAGCCCTCATCTGAGCAACACCGCCTTGTAAGTTCAACACTGTCATTTGTCTCCGACACAATCATAAATACAAACGTGAACACGGGCACCGAAGTTGAGTGGCGAAGATTACAGACTCCGGAGCCAGATTCCTAGGCTCAGCTCCCAGTTCTACACTCAAACACCCATGTGACCTTGGGGAACTGACTTGGCCTTCTCTGTCTCCGATTCTTCAACCGTAGGATGAGAATAATGGAGCAGCTCCCCCATAAGGTTTTAGGAGGATGAAACGAGTTAATACACGCACCAGCGCTTGGAACAGTGCCCAGCCCATTGTAAGTGGTAAAGGAGAGTTAAATACGGTTATTTTATTAAAAGGTAGCCTTACACGTGCCTAATTGTTTTAGATCATCAATAAAATAGAAAATACAACACTAAGGAATTCCCGTGAACATGAGGGCTCTCACAAGTAGGTTCGTTGACTCCCGTCTACCAAGCACTGATGAATTTTTCTCGCTGTGGATTTGAGCTCTTGTCTGTATCCCCATTCCCTGCCTCCCTTCCAAGAAGCCCGGGTGCCCCTGGTGGCTAACCCAGATCTCACCTTCTCTCCTTTCAGCCCTGCTGGCCCTGGAGCCCCAATTTTCCCCTAAAAAAACAATCAAGTCACAATTAGAGCATCCTCCCACTCCCACCTCTCTGAGACTCCACGGTCCCAGTGTCCACCCAGCAAGAGAAAGGCCAGCTTGGAATTACGAATGCCGCAACTAGGCAGGTAGCTGGACACTTGCTTCTGTTACACAGCCGGGTACTTGGAGGTTCTAGGAGGGAGCCCTAGGGCAAGCAGCTTGGGGCAGCGGAGGGAAGGAGGGAGAAACCAGGCTGCAGGCTGGGGACACCAGCGTCGGGGACTCCATCCTGGTCTCTGCCTGCAGGCTCAGAGCCTGAGGAGCCAGGGAGGCTCCCCGTGTGGCAAAGATGGGGCTGGACTGGGCCAGGCTGGTCACTCACCGGAAGGCCAGGCAAACCGAAGCCAGGGGAACCCACATCTCCTTTGGCCCCTGTAGAGGGCCCAAGATGCTGGGCTCCTACGGCTAAGCTGCAGGATGAGCAGGAGTCCCCCTGGGGAAGGAACAAAAACTCGGAAAGGCTCCCAGCAGTCGGGGGGTGGGCAGCCAGGGGGGCCAGTGTTCCCTTACCTTCTCTCCCTTGGGGCCTTGGATGCCAGGATCTCCCTGTAAGAGAGAAAAGGTTTATGGGCTGAGGCTGGGCCTGCAGGGGCACCCCAATTTCCTGGCCATACCCGAGGACAACAATGTTACACACCACAAACTTTTCAAATACCCAGGGGTCCTATGGGGCTCAAGATTAGCTTCCAGAGCCAGGGCTAATCAACCCATGTAACACATGGAGGAAATCAGGCCAGGCTATAATACCCTGCTGGAAAGTTCCAGTACCTACCCGATCACCTTTCCATCCAACAGCTCCCAGGCCCTCCTGAAAGAAAGTATGGGTGAGGGAGTGGAGTGGAGTGGGGAGTCGGGGCGAGGACCCTGACCCAGCCCTGCCCACTCCTCCACCCCTAACCAACACCAGTCCCAGGAGGAGGGCACAGTCTCACTCACTATAAGGGTTGGCTCCACCCCAGCTTGCCCAAAAGGCATCTTAGAGGCTCCTCAAAAAACCTAGGAGGTAGCCATGGAGACCTGGAGGGCCCTCTGGCCCAGCCCCAAACTCTATGGTTCAGCCCCCTCCCATGTAGCTAAGAGCCAGGACCCTCTGCCCACAATCTTTCTATGGCCAAGAGCAGTACCCAGTCCCTCTGTCAAGTGCCCAACTCCTCCCAGGATCACACTCCCAGGACTTTTGTGGGGCCCCTCCATGGCCACCTTGGGCACTCACCTTGGCTGGTGCAGGATCACCTGGCTCCCCCTTGGGCCCTGGCTTTCCAGGGAGCCCCACGAAGTTCTGGAAGCCCTCAGGCAGTGTCGGGCACACTTCACAGGGGTCACCCTAGCAGAAGGGAGAGATCATGAGTGGACAAGTTGGGAGAGACAAGTGGACCCTGGGGAAGACAAGGAGCTCCAGCTAGACACTGGTGGGGGGCCCCACCCTCCGCATTAAGGTGGACAGCAAGAACACTGGAGAGGCTCTCTGTTCAACTGACTCATTCATTCCACTTATGATTCCTGGACATCACAAAACTCATCCTCGCAACAAGCCATGGGAAGACATGGTGTCCCATTTACAGATGTGGACACTCAGGTGAAGAGGAGCTAAGTGGCACATTCATTAATCATGTGAGCGGCCGAGGCAGGACCCAAACCCAGCTGTCTAACTCCCAAGCCAGGCTCCTTATTCAGTAATCACACACACACACACACACACACACACACACACACACACACACCATAAGAACCAACAAAGTCCAGCACTCCTGATGCTCAGTGTCACCTTCAGAGAGGGGCTCCCACTCCCACCCATCCTGGTGCAACCCTGCCTGGATCTCACCTTCTCTCCCTTCAGCCCCGGCACTCCTGGCTTCCCCTGTCAGAAGAAGCAGTGGGCATTAGTGCCAGCCAGAGGGACTGGTATGCCAAGAGAGGGCCCAAGGACCTAGCCCCCCCTCTCTCTGGAGGCCTTGGCAGAGCAGCCCTGGGCATGGTAGGCCACACACCCCCTCCCCCTCCAGATTGGGCCTACTTACAGGTTTCCCGCCAGGACCTTCCTTTCCTGGCACCCCCGAGCTGCCCTGTGGTCAGAAGAAGTGTTAAGGGGGAGGCTCCTGGCCATGACCTTGGCCCATCCACCCCTTCCCCATCAGTCCCTTCTCTGAATTGGCAGTACAATCTCAGCCAAATCTCCCATCTCCTCATGGTCAGCTTGGTCAGCAAGCACTCCCTGCCTGCTGCCTGTCCTTCTCCACGTCTAACCCAAGTCCTTCTCCTTGCAAAGGAAGGAAGAATATGAGGCCTCTGTGTAGCCCTTCCCTCGTGCAGCAGGTCCAGAGGAATCTGGGTGACCCCAGAGGAGCCAGAGCAGACAGACATGGTCAGACATTTCCAGGGCTTTCTGCTCATCAAGGCATATGACCTTAAAAGGGGCTTGGGCCCTCCGGTTATGGCCTTTCTGGTCATTACTAGACTTAGGCCTACCTGTCCCCACGCCTAGAACCCAGGCCAGGGCTCCCAAGTCAGCAAGCACTGGGAGGGGGACAATCCTCACTGAGGGGCCTGGCTGAACTAAGCCAGCCTTCTCAGCTGAATGCCTGGCTCCCTCCCTCCATGCATGCCTGCTGCCCTGGGTCCCCTTCTCTCTCCTTCCACCATGCAGGGGGTTCCCCAAGTGCCACGCTCCCACCTGTGCTTACCTTGTCTCCTTTAGGGCCTGGTGGGCCGCCTGGGTCCCCCTGAGGGCAGGAACAGCATCAGATAGAGGCTTCCCAGAGGCCCTACATCATAGTGAGATCCACCCAAGCCCCTTCCCCCAACCAGGACCCCCAGAACTGAGTCTTATCTCCCCAGCCCTGGCCAGACCAGAGAACAGCAGGAGGGGCAAAGAGTACTCACCGGGGTCCCAGGAAGTCCTATCCCAGGGGGCCCAGGGTGGCCAGGGGGGCCAGGCTTTCCAGCCAGCCCCTCAGGCCCAACAAAACCGGGGTCTCCCTGGTACAGACATGGTGGGTGTGAGAGAGCCATCGCCTCAGCCCCACCACCCACTCTCCATCCCACAGGTACCCACAACTCACCTTCTGCCCTTTGGGCCCCATGACGCAGATCTCCCCTGGCCGGCCCTGTGGGGTAGAGGCGGAAGAAGAGCCTGAGGCCTGGCACCGCCTGGGACAGCAGCCCCACTGAGATGGGTATGCACCCAGCTGCCCACCCTCAGAACCCCTCCCCAAAGTCAGACTCCAGCCCTGTGCCCCAAGGTCATCAGATGTCAACCACAGGGCATCAGAGGTCAGGGGTCAGGCTGGGAGCCAGGGGGCCTGAGTTCAGGTCCTGTTCTGTCCCCTCCTAGCTCTGCTTCCTGGGGCACAGCCTCCCCCTCCCTGGGTTTCCGTTCTCCTGTCTGAGCAAGGCTAGTAGGTTGGACTCTGATGGCTAACTCCAGCATTTCACTGAGGGCCATGGGGTGGTGGCGAGGAAGGGTCCCGAGCACCGTACATCGCGGCCTGGCTTTCCTGGAGAGCCCTTGATGCCTCCGTCTCCCTTCTCGCCTTTCTGGCCCTGGGGAAGGAAAAGGTAAAGTGTCGGGGGCTGAGAGAATGGGCTGGAAGAACCAAACCAGCCCTATCGGGAGGAAGGACAACTGGCTTCTCGACCCCCGGTTTCTGCCTCCCCAGAGACTGAATGGCTGCAGTCACTACAGGAAGGTAGACAACAGAAAGAACTTCCGGGCCAGGGAGTCTGTGGGGGCACGTGGACAGGGCAAGGTGACAGGGAGGGACAGAGAGTATTGCCACTTCTGGCCTCCTGTGGGGATGGTACCCTCTGTCCTCTGGCAAGATTTTAGACATCTTCCTCAAGTCTGAGGGCCCACAGGCCTCCCTGGCACCCGCCCCTCCAAATCCAGGCCCATTACCTTCTGGCCTGCAGAGCCTGGAAGTCCTGAGGGTCCCTGAGTTGAGGAGGGGACACAAGACAAGGGGTGAGAGAAAGAGGGGGAGGCTGGGCGAAGACCCCGCTGCCCGGCCCTGTCCTCAGTCCCACACTCACCAAGGCTCCTGACTCCCCCTTCTCTCCCTTGGGGCCTTCTGCACACTGAGAAGGGAGATAAGGGGTGGGAGATAAAAAGGTCACCTGGTGGACAGCAAGGACACACATGCCCCTTCTCTGGGGGCTGACCCCATATTGGCCTTGCCTCCAGGTCTTTATTAAGATTTTATCTATTTATTCATGAGAGACACAGAGAGAAGCAGAGACACGGGCAGAGGGAGAAGCAGGCTCCCTGTGGGGAGCTCGATGCGAGACTCGATCCCAGGACCCCAGGATCACAACCTCAGACGCTCAAGCCTCTGAGCCACCCAGGCGTCCACCTCCAGGTCTTACCTGAAGTGGGGCCTCTGGGGAGACTCGGACGCAGTCACTGCCCTAGAGGTAGGGAACCAGGGATGTGGGTGAGACCCTGTTTTGAGAAGGATAGGCTCAAGAGTCCCACAGTTCCCTAAAAAATAGAGGCCTCTGTAAACTGACTCCTAGAAAGACCCCACCCATCAGCCCCCATGTAGGCCAGGCTGCAGGATTTGGGCTGAGCTGATGGGATGGCTCACATGGCAGCACACCCCCAGGGTACAGCTGGGGAGGGCCCTGCAGTGGGCATGGCTGGGGCACTTACCCGGGCTCCCTTCTCTCCTTTGGGGCCTGATGGGCCAGGCAGGCCTCGCTCACCTTTCCCTCCCTGTGAATGAGATCAAAACAGGGGCTGGGACCCGAGGGAGCACATGGGAGACCTGCCGAAGCTCTTCCCAGCCCGTCTTCACCCATCCACCACGCTCGGGTGTGTAAATGAGCACAGCCTGCCCCAACCCCCAAGCATGCACACAGCATATGGATTCCATATGCATTCATCCATATGGCCCTCCCACCCCAAGAGGCTATATTTGGCAGATCTATAGTCTCACAAAGAGGGTACTTTCCCCACCCCTACCCAAGCACGCGAGCTCGCACGCAGCTCGCCCTGGGGCACATGGACACATATGCACGGATACACACATGTGGGATGACAGATCCATGATGGGGAGTGTCAGGCTGCCAGAGTTCAAATCCTGCCCCTACCGCTTACTAGCATGTGACTCGGGGCAGGTCATGTCACCTCTCTGAGACTCAGTCTCTTCAGCAATAAAAAGGGACTCATGTTAGCCCCTCCTCAGGGGGCTGTGTCAAGGAAGAAATGTGACAGTGCACACAAGGTGCTCAGCACGGAGCCTGGCACTCACGCAACACTCACACAAAGGCAGCCCCAGGGGCTGTGCGATGTACTCTTGGGCACCCACAAGCACACAGCTCCACATTCACATGCGTGCCGCCTACCCCGTCACTCATGCCCTCTGTGGTCCTGTCGGGCCCACGGGCACAAGGGCTCACTCCCCCCACCACAGGGGGCCACACACACATGTGAACGTGTGTCCCAGGAGGCACACAGCCAGACCCCCACACTATCACCCCAATACCTCCAGGCCCACACGGGGCGCTGCTGAGCCTCAGTGTTTTCTGAAGTAAAATGCTAGTGGCCTCCCCGCTGGATGCTCGAGGAGCGGGGAAGGTAAGAGATGTGCAATGCAAGGCCCAAAGCCTGATGCACAGTAGGACTCAGAAAAGGGGCACCTTTAACATCCTTATACACACACAGCTCCCTACTCTCCCCAACACACACACACACACACACACACACACACACACACACCTAATCACCCCCCACACATACAGGTTCGGGTAGCCCTGATAGAAACACACAGCCAGGGGGTAACACACTGTGGGACAGGCCGGGACTTCCAAAGCGGGCAAGAGTGTCCTGTTCTCCATCTTGGACTCACCTTGGGTCCAGAGGGACCGACTGTCACCTGGGGGGCAAAGAAAACATTGTACCTCAGGGATGGAGGAAAAACCAGGGATGCAGAGAAGGCAAGCAATTAAACAGGGTCACACAGCATTGTGGCAGGACCAACACCCCAAATCCAAGACCACCAGCAGATCAACAGCTCTGCCTCCAAGGCCACCCAGCATGCTGACTTTATATGCTGTCAGACTTGCAGAGGGGTCTAACCTACCTTCTTTAAACTGCCGGCTTTAGCTAGTCCCACCCCCTACTTGTTAGGATTACAGGGCTGTTCAGTTGCCATGGTAACGCCTGCATATCCGGGGACCATCAGCCTTACCAGATTTGGTGGGGGGCTAGATGGAAAGAGGGCCAGGCAGCAGAGGAGTACTTCCTGTGTCCCCCAAGGTCAGGGGGCTTGGAGCAGAGGGTAACCAGGGCTGTGCCCTTTATAGACTAATGTGGCATGTCAATTCAGAATGTCAGGCTATGGGAAAGTGGTGACCTATGCCGCCCACGGAAGAGGTACAGTTGGGTACTAGCTATGCTCACACCGAGCCCCTCTCCTTTGTCCTTCTGTACCCCAGAGGGAGGCTGGACCAGAGCCAGCTAGAGAGGGATATGAGGGGAGGTCCTGAGCCAACATAGGGTTGGGGGCCAGTGCCGAGCTGTGCCACCCTGAGTCAGCCTTCCCCTTCTCAAGGCCTCCAAGCTGATGTGAGAAGCCTTCAAGCAGGGCAGCCCTGAGTCCTTGTGGGAAGTGGAAAGCCGGGATCAGCAACCAAGGTCCTAGCCCTACCAGCCACTATCCTGTCCCCATTTCACCCCGGATCCCAATACATTGTCTGGATCACAAGGCGTGAGGCTTCCTTCCATGAAGCCCTTGGTGGGGATGGGGTGGGAGTCAAGTCCAGCTCTGGGGGATGTGCAGGGAGGGAGTGTGATAAGAGCACAGAGGTCCACTTGTTTTTAACCAGAAAGCCAATTAGCCCACTCCCAGCCCCCGCCCACCCCACCCTGCACACTCTCTATTCACTCACATTGCTTTCCCGGGCACCATGGACACAGGGTGGACACTACAAGGGAAGAATGGGCCAAGAGGTCAGTTCTGAGAGCCCGGAACCGGCCTTCCAAACCCCATTTCCCTGCATACACACAGCAAGCACACAGAACATCATGTGTGTCCTGGGTGAAGTCCAAGGGAGCAAGAAGATAGGAATCCTACCAAACAAGCCTCATCCCTCAACTCCCAGCATCCCAGAGCCAAGCCATTTCTCACATGAGGAACTGAAGCCCGGAGAGAAACAGCAGTGGGATCTGGGTCACGCAGCATGTGGGGGCAGAGTGAGGCCCAGAATCTGGGGTCCCACAGCCAAGGCTTGGACTCTTCCCATGATGCCCGTGGCCATTTGCTGCCAACTCGGCAGGAGTGTCCAGGACGAGTCCCTCCTCCTCTACCCACCCAAGGAGAGGCAGCAGGCAGACAGAGCCCAGCACTGAGCCCCGAAGGAATGCTAGGAGCTGAGTAGTCATCCCAAACCCCCATGCCCAGGCTCAAGTGCCCCAAAGTGTCAAAAGGGTTCATGCTGGCACCTCCTCAACCAAGCTCTTTTTGCCAGTCTAGATGGGAGGCTTACCTCATTGGCTGCTGGCTCCTGACGGGCCTGGGAAGAGGGAGGGCATGGTAATGGGCAGGAAGCAGAGGGTATGAAACGCTGCTTCCAATACTCCTACCCAAGAACCATCAGGAGCGGGTGCCCTACATTGTGCCAGGTACTGTCTGTCTCGCCCCCATTCACCCTTCCTTCTCCGAGCTGGCGCCTATACAGCCTAAGCTCTGTCCAGGAGTGGGGGCAGGTGGGAAGAGTGTGGGCGTACAGTGGCTTATTCAAGGGGTTTACAGAGGGTACAGAGAGCAGACCAGGTCACCATGAACTCCTCTCCCCACCTCCCCGCTCCTAGCTCTACCTTTGTTCCTCTTTCTTCTTTCTGGCTGATACTTCCTGTCAGCTGGGCATCCACCTGGGTAGACAGAGTGAAAAGGAACTTTTCAAGAGGGAGCAGCACAGGAGCCCACGCCAGATAAAGGCACCCAGGTAGGGGCAGGGACCCAGGTACCCCCTCAGCTGGCACCTCCCAAGGCATCAAGAGCCTGCCCAGGCCCCTGGCACTCCCACAGGTCCCCCCTCCTTCTCCCCTTCACCCACGTGATGTCGGAGAAAACAAGACCATGAATCAATGGGATCCTGTGTTCCTGCAGCCAAAGGCTGGGCATGATGCCCAGCGGACAGGGATACTGCCCAGCCTGGGGGTGGGGCAAAGGGAGGAACTGGGTTTCCCTGCCACCCTAAAGAACCCAAGAGTAGGTAGGGCAGCTGGCCATGGTGCTGGGCATCGAATCAGCCTGGCATTGGCTGGGGCTGGCCTCAGGAGGGCAAGCAATCCCTGAAGGAAGCAGTGTGTCCTGGCCTCTGATCTCACGTAGCTCTGTCCCGGAGCAACTGCCTTTGGGTGCAAGCCTGGTCTTGACCTCACCAGAAGGGTCTGGGGTGACGTCAGTGAGGGGCTGGGTAGTGCCAGGGCTAGAATGGGCACCTCCCTCAGTGCCAACAGGCAGGTAGGCACAGGTTTACCCGGTGGGCTCTCTGCCTCCCGGAATCCTATAGGGGTGGGGCTTCCGGGGCCCTCCCTACCCCAGGCACAACTGACCCTGGTGGTCCACCTCGGTGCCACTTCTACTCACCTATGCTCATGTCTACCTGCCCTGCCCACCCACCTTGCTGTTTTGAGGCTCCTCCAAGCAAAAGCAGCGGGTGTAGACCTTGCCTTCAGTCTGTGGATTGATCTCGATGAGCTCATTGCTCTGGGTGTCCCGGCGGGCCTTGGACGTTTCTGGGGGACACTGTCCGGAGTGACAGAAGGGATGGGGTCAGTTCAGAATTCACGCCCTCACCCACCATCCTGCGATCTCATTGCATCCCTATCCCGGTCCCCATCTCCAGCTCACTAGGCCCATGGAAAGTGCCCCGACCTTCCCAGCGGGGCCGGAGCCAGGCCACTCACCCCTCCTGGCAAAATCTCACAGCATCCCTCCTCCAGCACAAGCTCTGGGTCACAGTAGATGTGTGCCTGCTGAAGGTCAAACTGCAGGAGACATGCAAGTCAGTTTCCCGCTTCATTTTGTCAAATAGCTCAGTGCCCTTGGCTGCCCGTGAGGCCCAGAGAAGGCCCCACCCCAGAATGCGCCCTCGGAGTATTTCTGGTTTCACCGGGGAGACCTTCAGGAACAGAGCTGTCACCAAAAGCAAAACAGAACTGCACACACAGGAAAGACAGGGAGGAGGGAGACAAGGTCACTTTGGCCCAGAGGAACAGGGGCGGGGAGGTTCCATTTCAGCGGGGCCTTGAAGGCCGAGCAAATACCCTGCAGGTGGGTATGTGTCCCGGGTGGAGGTGACAGCATAGGCAAAGGCACATGGGTGTGAAAGGAACAGGCAAGATGTATGACTAGGAAGGAACTGACCAGAAGAAGCCTTACAGAGAGGTGTAAATGAAGGAAAAGATACCATAGACATGTTAGGGACCAGGTCGTGAAGGGCCTTGAATGCCAGGTTAATATATTTAGGCTGCATCCGGAGGGCAGTGGGCAACCACAACAGGATTCTGAGCAAGGGAAGGACCTGGTCAGACAGGGATTCCCGGGAGCTCACCCAGGCTCCCAGAAGGTGGGAACAGAGGCCAACGCCCGACCTGGCACTCACCGAGACTGGTTTCCCCTGCTCTGCATCCAGGCCCAGAAAGACGTGGCCCCCTGGCCGCATGGGTCGCCGGGGCCCCAGAGGCCGAGAGGAGGCTGAGGTGCAGTCCATGTGCACGGATGCCACACGTTCAGCCACGCTCAGCACCAGCTTGTGCCAGCGCAGGTCAAAGAGCTGGGGCACTGGGAAGATGCAGGACACAAAGTCGCCGTCTTGGCCCCGGGCCCGGAGCTCCAGGCTCCGCTCTTGGCTGTTGACTTCCAGGGAAATCTGTGTGCAATTGAGAAAGGACCGGGACAGAGGATCAGAGTCCCATGGGCTCAGTAGAGCAAAGTTCAGGGCTCTCAAGGTCATTTCTTAGGAGGGGGCACTGAAGCCCAGAAAGAGGAGAAAGCTGGTAGGGCAGGAGCCGCTGGGGTAGGGGTAACCTTGAGGGTGGGCACTGGGGATGGGGCACAGAACCCCTGAATTCACAAGCTGGGACAGAGGTTGGACTGGACTGGGACTGCTCGATGCCCCAAGAGCCACGGGGGGGCAGGGGGGTGGTAGTCTGGCTCACCTGTGGGTACCCATCTCCATCGGTCACTTGAAATAAATACCACGTGTTCTGGTGGGTGTGTTTCTTCAGCAATAGCGTCAGCACCAGGGCAAACTCACTGGGGAGGCCCCGAGGGAAGACTCGCCTGGGGGTAGAGCCGGGAGGGGTACCCTGAGGCTCAGGTGAGAGGCCACCTGCTGCCTTCCCTGGGCCCTCAGGACTGCTGAACCTACATGAGACACGCACAGGCCCACACCTCCAAACCGACACATACATATGCATGTTTGTTTAGTCTACTGACATTTATCAAGTGCCTACTACGTGGGTGGAACTGGCTACTGGGGATAACAGTGGTGAAAGCACAGAGAAAGTTCCTGCCCTCATGGAGCCTTCAAGTCTGGGGGGTGGGCAGAAATAGGACCCTAAACAAAGAGTCCCTGGGATGACTATGTCACTAAATCATGACAATTGTGGTTAAGTTCTTCCAAGAAATCCAGGATGCCCTGGAATCCAGGATAACCAGGACTGGGGTAGGAGAAGATGCTAGAAAAAGATAAAAAGCATTCAGCATGACTAGAGCAGCAAGAAAGAAAGAGGAACATTTTGGAAGTTGAGGCTAGAGAGGAAAGCAGGAGCCAAACTCCCCGGGGACTTGTGGGAGTATGAACTTTTACATGTGGACACATGGGGGTGCACACACACACACACACACACACACATACACACATACAGACTCTTGCCAGGTTCCCATCTCCATCCCAGGGTCTTCATGGTGCCCAGAGAATACAGGCCTGTCCCCCAGGGGCTAGCCAGAGGTAGGGGAGGGACAGAGGGTGGATCAGCCACACATTTCCTCTGTGCCTACCCTGCAAACCCCAGAAGTAGAAACCAGGTTGACTTCTGCCAACGAGTGGGAGAAGATGACCAACAGAGCCCCACACCCAGAGTTGCTGGGGAGTATTAATGCCCAGTGGTCACACTGGGGCCTTTACCGCATGGGCTGGGTGAGCGGGGCTGCCCCCAGTCGCAGGATGAGGGGCCCCTTGGGGTTGCGGATCTTCTTGATGGCAGATGTTTTCATGAGGTTGAGTCGGCGGATGAGATTAAAGCCTTTGAGGGAGACACCAGATGAAGAGCTCAGCTGGGCAGGTGAGGAGGGGGTAACAGCCGCTCCAGCAAGATGGTAGGGGGGGGACAGCAGAATGAGATGGGCACTCACCAGTTATGTTGGTCGATAAATGGCTTCTATGTTCCAACTTGAGTCCTTCCTCTTGTGAAAGTGGGCACTGCTCACCTGGAAAGGAATTGGCAATGGGCCATTCAGTGGACTCTGGCTAAAGAGTCCATTGGGGAACCTGGAGAGAAGCAAATTTTTGTTCCCCATTCTGGATCTTTAATCAGGCCCGCCTTGGGGGCTGCTTTTACCTCTTGCCTTCTGACTCTAGCTACCCTGGGAGCCAGGAGGACTCCCAGTATACAGATGGGAAGACTGAGGCCCAGAGATTGAGGCTGGGCCCAAGGCCACTAAATGAGTTCACAGCAGAGCAAGGCCAGAACTCCTGAAACTCATATCCACCAAAATTCCAAGTCAGGGGGCAGGTCAGCAAAAGAAAGAACAAAAGAAACCCTGGGCAGTCACAGAACTCAGATGTGGTAAAGAGCCAAATGTCTACATGTGCTCCTCCTTCATATACACCCAAGTGGGGGGCAGAGGATCACTTCAGAGGTAAAGAAAGTCACATTATGCACGCTTGTGTTATGTACAAGCACATGTGCATGTCTGCACATGTGTGAGTTGTGGATGCCTGTGCCACGAGGGATGCTGTGTGTAGCTGGTACATGTGTTCTCAGCAGTGGGTGGGGTTTACTTCCTACATCTACAGCAGAACAACAGACCAGACACAAGTCTAAACCAACAGAATGATTTTTCACCTGGATAACTACCTTATGAAACAGTAAAAAGAGACTGAGGGCCCAAAGGGACCACAAACTCAAGGGAACCACCAGGATCTAGGGGCTTCCGACATGGTATATTAAGTGGGTAAAGGCTCCTAGAGAAGAATAGCTTAATTATGGTCTCCAAAACCCGAAGGGACAGGTAGGTAGCCATGGGCCTGTCTCCTTTAGGGTTGACTGAGCAAAAGGTTAGGAAGGATTCTACAATAGGAGATAAAGGCCAGACTCAAAAAAGCCTCCCCATCACTGCAGATGGGAGAGCTGGGACAGGACAATGAATATTGCTCCTCGAAGCTGAGCATTGGACTCCCTGGCTGCCTAACTGGAAGAAGGAACCTTGGATCCCTCGGCCCAGTGACCCCACTGAAGTCTCCCTCCCCCAGGTCTGGCCAGAAAGACTATCACTGTCTTCAGCATCGGCAGCAGCAGTGGGTGACTCACCCCTTGGCAGTGGGCCCAGATTCCTTACAGATGTTGAAATTCTCTGCCCCAACCCCCAGGGGAGCCGGTGAGGGAGAGAGAGCAAGGCACACGTGCATGCACGCATAAGCACATATGTACGCACACACAACCTGCAAGCAGTCACGTGCACCCTGGGTTCACACCCCTCTCACATCTGCACCTCGATTTTTCTGCTTCCCTCAGCTAGATTTGGGTTCTAGGAGTTCTATTTCTGCTCAGCTGGGCAGCTAAGCTATGAAGCCCAGAGGGCACCCAGCAGGGCAGGGCAAGTTGCCCGGTCAACTTCCTCTGGCTTCAGGCCCTGGAAAGCTGCACCCTCTGCTCCATCCAGCGTCTGGGTCTCGAGGCGGGCCCTTTACTCAGGATCCAGGGCCAGCCGTGGAGGAGGAGGAGCACGTGGGCTGGAGGATGGATTCTCTACCATGAAAAGGATCAGAAAGGCCTGGGCCTCCTTCAACTGTTTGCACAGGATGGCTTTACATGCTGGGGAAGAGGGCTATTCTCTCACACACACAGACACAGGAATGAGTACAGAGGCACAGAGCAACTCTGCGATGCAGAAAGGCTCACAGACGTACAAACATGCAGACAGAAGCACACAGACGCTCAGCTCACCCCACACACGTACAGATGGACCATGCCTCAGCCCACCCTGAGCCCACCCTGGGATGGGCTCCCTGGATGGATTCTCCATCCCTGCCCACATGACCTAGGCACATGGTCACACATGTACATCGGACCCCAGCATCTCAGAGAGCCAGTCACAGACCAGTGGCACCCCAGTCTTCATGCGGCACCTCACCTGTATCTGCCGCCTGGCTGCACGCAGCCCAGAGACTGAGCAGCCACAAGCCGGGAAGCCAAGATGCCCACATCCTGGTCCAGAGAGGTCGGCCACAGCCACAGCACCTGAAAACCGCAGAGACCTTGAAGGTGGATTCCTGAGTTCGCATGGCATGATACATAGGCAAGTAGCAGCCGGTCCATGGGGCCTAGGCCCAAGGTGGGGTGGCAGGACGTCTGGCCAGCATCGGTTCCTCTCAGAGGCCCAACCACAGGCCTTGGGCTACGATTTGGGCCAGGGTAATATTCAAAATATTTAACCACCAGTATGGCACAGACAGCGACCAGCCAGAGGAGAATGCTGGTTAGAGCACTGAAACTGGGTCGAGGCAGCATCTAATGGCGCCAGGGGATAAATGCTGGATTCCCGAGAGATCTAGAGGGTCCTAGAAGGCCAGGTGAATTGGGGTAGTGAGGGGCTTGAGACAGAGACTATTTACCAAGATGCTTAGAAGTATTTCAATATTTTATCAACCTGTGCACTGTATTGCTCTACGCTAGCCTGGTACCTGGCTAGCTGCACCCAGTTCATCCAGTCCTGCCAGGCACCCACAAAGGTCAGGGTCTGAATCTCCTGTCAGTATCACGGAGTTTTGTGGGGGCCAAGGAAGCATCCCCCGTGGGTACAGTGGGTAGGAAAGCAGGTTACCGAGCTCAGGACCTTGTTGCCAACCTCCCTCGCTGATGGATGCTCGTCTTTTAGTTTTATTAAACGGTGATGGATGGGCCCAGATAAATCAATGCAGGCTCAGCAAGCCGCCAGCAGACCCATACATCATCCGGCCTCCCCTGAGACGGGCAGCTCGCACGTGCACACACAGTCATTCATGTGTCAGCATGACACATGCAGATATATACACACTTACACACGCAGACACATTTGTGCTACTGGGTGTGTACAGACCTACCTGCACACAGGCATGCTTACAGAGACCCATGTCACCCGTATACCTGGACATACCAGCTTGCCCGTACACACGTGCACAGAGCCAGCCTGTGACTCCCCTTCCAGTAGGCCTGCCTGTCGGGAAGTTCTTGTGCAAGTCTGACCTCATTCCCCCCAGCTGTTATGGAACTCTACTTCTCTTCCCTCAGTCCTGAATAGGGAGTGAGCACCCGAAGGACCCCTCACTTCAATATATTTGGAGGTAGGACCCTGTTCCCCTCGTTCCTGGGGCAGAACTGTTCCTCCACCCCATTCATCCCCCTTCCTAGTGGTGTGCACTCAAAACCCTATCCTGGCCTCCCCGTCCTGCCAGTCAGTGGAAGAGTTGCCAGCTGTGGGAGGCATGTGAACGCATGCGGAGGCGGGAACATCGCTGTGCTTGTGTCCCCTTCCCGCTCCTCATCTCTAGCCCCTGGCCTCAGCCAGAGCAGGGGCTGCAGGGATAGGAGAGAAGCTTCCAAGGATGTGATCCCATCCCAGTAGAAAGGCACAGATCTGGAGGCAGGGAAAGCAGAACCCAGATGGAGTTTAGAGCTCCCCTAAAGAGAAGGCAACTGAGGTCCAGAGACGGGATGCCACTGGGCCCAAGTCACACAGCAAGTTGGAGGCAGAAGAGGCGCTTCAGCCCGGCCGGAGGCAGCCCACTCCACCCCCACTTACCGTGGCCGGGGATCCCCACCTCACCGAGTAATCCAGGCAGCCCAGGTCAGCCGGCCAGGGGATCCTCAAGGCCGCTGGGAGGTCGCGGACCACTCGTGGTCGGCGCGGGCCCCAGTGCCAGGGCGCCAGCTCCGGGGGGCTGAATGCGGCCCCGCGAGCGCGCGCGCCTGTCTGCCGGGACGCCGGCCACCGCGGGTGGGGGAAGAGGGGCGGTTCCAGGGGGCTGGGGACGTGCCAGGGCCGCTAATGGAACACAGCTGGACCCGCCCGCCGAGCAGGAGGCGGGACGCAGGGCCGGGAGGGGGCTCCGGCGGTGGCAGAGGCGGCGGCGGGACGCGCGCCCCGCTCCCGGCCTGGCCCCGCGCCCGCCCCGCCCCGCCCGCCTCCCGCCAGGTGAGCGAGCGGGGCGGGCCCCTGCGTGCCCGGAGCTGCCCTGCGAGGGGGCTCGGCGGCCGGCGGCGGCGGCGGCCTCGGGGGCGGGGGCGGGGGGCGGGCAGCCCTTCAAGGGCCGGCTGGAGAGTGAAGGGCCTCCCGGGCCACCCCCTTCCCCTCTCCTGGCGGGGCCTCCAGAAGGCCCTGGGCGGGGGGAGCGGCGGGCAGAGGGGGGTGTCGGAGACCCTCCTCCCCAGTTCCGTGGCAGCGGTGACGTGGCTGCTGCCCAGGCCTCCTCGGGCAGCTTTTTCCAGTTTCTCAGCCTCACATTCCCAGTTAGTCTGTTCCTCTCGGTCTGAATTGGAAGAGGGGGTGCTCCTGGGCTATGGGGCGTTGGGGGGGTCTGCATTAACCCGTTCTGCTCTAACCTCATGCCCGGAGAAGTGGAGCCCTGCAGGCTCCCTTAGTCTTCCTGATTCCATGAGGTTAGAAGGGCTCCAGTCCCTGTCCTCTGCGCTCTAGCTTTGTGGCTTGGAACTTACTATTTAACTCAGACTCCCTTTTTCATCTGTATGATGGGATAATGATCTCTATACCCCACAGGGTTGTTGCAAGCAGGAAACGAGTGGAAGGCTGTCAAAGGGCTTGTACAGGGTCTGGCACGAAAAAGGAGCTCGTATGGGGCGCCTGGCTGGCGCAGTCGGTGGAGCATGGGACTCTTGATCTTGGGACTGCCAGTTTGAGTCTCGAGTCGGGGGGCTGAGTTTACTTAAAAGAAGTAAACATGCAAAAATAGCTGTAAACTGTGCCCCCCCCCAAAAAAAGGAGAGCTGTAAGAAACTAGGATTGTCAAGTAATAAAAATGATATTAAAAAAGGAGCTCAATAAATATTCACTGTTATTATCATTATTACCATGAACGCTGGCAGGAGGTAGGAGTGTGGAGGGTGCTGAGGTTCAAGCATATGCACTAGGGATGGGACTTCTTAGCAGAAAGGAGCAGGTTACAGTGTCCAGTTCTATCCAGATGCAGGGATGATCCCAGTGACCCTCTCAAGGTTACCTCGCCCAAGGCAGCAAACAAATTTGTGGGCACTAAGGCTGAGGAACTACCTACCAAGAATTGGGTTCAAGAGGCCCATGAATGGTAGGAATGGATATGGGGAGCAGGGAGCAACTGGGATGCCCTGATGAGGGGAGACTTCCCATAGAAGCTATAGGGTTGAACCAGCCCTGTGGCCCATCTAACCCGAGAGAGAGGGGGAGCAGGCTTGGGATTTCCCGCCTTAAGAGCCAGAGGCGCTGAGTCAGCGGAAACCCCAACCAAGGCCACAGAAGAGCCCCACTGTCGTCCAGGCGGGGCCAGGGAGCCTTCCCAGATGTGGCTAGGACAGCGGTGGGGCCTGGGAAACGCTGAGCTCAGCAGGCGGGAAGCGGAGGGGTGGGGCTTTCTGGGCACCCCGGCCTGAGAAGTGGGAGGGCACAGGCTCTCCCTGCCCCCAGGGTGCTGTTCCAGAGGTGGGCTTTTGGGAACTCATAGGCACCTCGTATAGGCCAGGGTCTGTGCCAAGGACTCCACATGGGCTGACTCCTTTTCTCCTCACATCCACCCCAGGAGGGAGAATTCTATTCTTATCCCCATTTTACAGATGGGGAAACCTGGAGCATAGGAACTATGCAACTTACCCAAGATCACGTGGCTATGACAGGTGGAACAGGGAGCCACATCCAGCTAGCCTGCACTCACAGCACAAGTTCTTAAGGACTGTGCCATCCTGGGCAGCTCCTACCCTTCCTCCGCTCGTATGTGACTCTCCCAGGCAGGAGGGGACGGCTGGACCCAGAGAAGCCAGAGCCAGAGGGAGCGGAGAAGGGGGAACACAGATACCTCCACATAGCCCCGCAAGCGCACTCACCAGAACCTGGCCTAGACACACTGTAGACATGGTCTAGAAAGGTGCCCACGCGCCATCCTCCCTCGGACGCGCATGTGCACATATCCAGGAACATGCAGAGATGCTCTTCACAACAGGTGTGTAGACTGCATGTGCCTATGTAGGCACCTACATTTATATACAGACGCATGCACACACATGATAATCCCCCACATAAACACGCATGGAGACACATGTGTGAGCACATATGAACCCACAGAAACATATCCCTGGACATACTCCAGCACAGGTGTGCAGTTCTCAGAATGCATATGTACGGCACTGCATGTACTTGGATATGCACACACCCAGCTATGTATGCACAAACATACATAGACCCATGCACATGTGCCCACAGGTGTAATTACTCATCTACACAAGCAGAGAAACCTGCAGATCTACATATACATGTGTGCACAGGTGGCTCCCACGGGAAGCACCCCGCTCACACGCGGACACATGTACATACATGCGCACATTTCTATGCTTCAGCCCCAGAAAGCCCTGCACACCAGCAAGCAGGGTATCCTGTGGGGCTGGGCTCAGTGCCCTCACCCCAGATGGCATCACCACGAGGTAATGAACGCTGCTAATCGCCACCAGCTGCCCTGGAGCCTGGCTGCCGCTGCCGGGTGGGGCTACTGAGGCCTCCCAGGCCCAGGGTAGTATGCCCAGATGTCCACCGCGCCCAGAGCTGCCCACCCCCCTGTCCCAGCTGGCTATCGGGGAATCCCCATCTGGCAGGGGCAGCACAAGCTGGGGAAAATAAAGAGCCAAGATGGGGCTTGGTCCCAGGACAGGGCCAGGAGCTCCCACAAGGCCAAGCAGAGGCGGTCTGAAGCCCACATGCACGTGTCACAAGTGAGCCCTGGCATAGGTGCACACAGGTGCACATGCGTGCACTCGTATTAGACACGGCCAAAACAGAACTCTCTAATTTTTCCCCACAGATCTACTTCTTCCTGTCTTCCTCATTCTGGTAAATGCCACCATAATTCATTCAGATGCTCAGGCCAAAAAACTAGGAGTCATCCTTGGTTCCTCCCCACCCCCCACCCAGTCCTGTTGACTCTACCTCCAAAATACAGCCTGCATCCATCCACTCCTCCCCACACTCACCCAAGCCACACCCTCTTCTGCCTGGACTGTTGCAGGAGACTCCCAACCCCTACCTCCCACCCAGCTGCCAGCAAGGCCTTTCCAGATCTGTAGCTGTTGCATTCATGCTCCTACTTCAATTTTCTAGTTCTCATTTCACCTAGAATAAAACCCCAAATCTTTTCCTTGGCCTTACTAAGTCCAGCATGATCTGTCCTCCGCCTTCCTGTCCAGCAGCCTTGCCCCCAGCTTCTGGGGCCCCCCTGGTTTCCATTCTCGGTCCTGAATTGGTCAGGTTGATTTTCCCCTCAGAGCTTTTTTACCAACCCCCCTTCCTCTACCTGGAAGGATCTTTCCCTGATCTTTGCTGGGCTGGCTCTTTGACAGGTCTTGCCTCAAAGTTACCTCCTAGAGTGGCCTCTCCTGACCACCAGATCCAGAGGAATCTCAAGCCATTCCTGATCACATGAATCTGTTTTAAATCTCTGCATAGCTGCAGTATCTGTGTGTGCGTGTGTGTCTGTGTGCATGTATACTGTCTTTCTCTACTAAGAAGCAAAAGGCACCCCAAGGGCCCTTGTCTACTGGTACTCACCGCCCTACAGCTGAGCGTGGTGCCCCAGAGGCATCCCCTGGTGAAGTAGCGGATAAATGCATGCTAGCCCTGTCCAAGCACTCATACACAGACACACACCAACAGGAGACACATGCATGAGTGTACACATGTGCAGAAACAGCCACATGCGTGCGGCTTCTGGGACCCAAAGGAGAGATGGTAACCAGAGGGTCAAGGTCACTCTCTGCCTCCTTTGGTTCCTTTGGGTATCTCTGTCCCATCGCCTTAAGACTCTGGCCATCTCCCACTGTCTCTGTCCTCTTTGCTGCGCCAATGTCACCCTCGGGTTCTCTAGCCTGACTTCTTCCCTGTGACTCTGGCCCCTCTGCAGCTCTCTCTTGCCTCTGCCTCTCTGCTTCTAACTCTCCTGTGTGCCTCTGGGAATCTACATCTCTAACTCCGAATCTCTGTGTCTCTCTATGTCTCTGATCTCTGTCTTCTTCTCCCACGTTCTGTATCTTTATGTCCCTGTCTCTGTCTCTCCCTGTTTCTATCTGCATGTGTCTCTGTTTCTGGTTCTGTATCTCTGACTCTCCGGCTCTGTTGCCTGTTCTCCCTCCCCCCATCTCTTTGCCTTAAATCAGCCCTGCCACCATGTCTCCACGGCTGTCCGCATCCCTGTGGCGGGGAGACCCATCTTTCACCTCCAGAGGCAGCTTTACAGTCCCAGCGGGTGGACTGGTGCTCTACTCTGCTAATGCGCACCTCCCCTGCAGGGCCATGGCGAGCTCCACACAGACAGCCTTGCCCCCAGCAACATTTACAGATGCCCAACCAGGGGGCCTTATTTCAGTAGCTCATGGCACCGGGTGCCTGACTGCTTTGACCACCCTGGAGCTTCTGGAGAGGTGAGCGCAGACTCTGTGGGGCACTGCTGCGGATGTGGTGTCGGCCAGGCAGGTGGTCACTGGGGTAAGAAAGGAGAACGCACTAGGCATCATGGGCCTTGCCTGGATTGTCCCCTGGGCTCAGCCTGCTTGTTCTGAGGGAACTTTTGGGAGGTGATGGGCACAAGAGCCCTGGATTCCAGTCCTCCCTTTACTCACTGTGTGACCCTGAACCCCTGCCTCCCCAGGGTAGCATAAGGTAAACTGTAGGCTCCCACATTAACCCACCTCACGTCCTAAAGCACCTCAAAGCACCCTGTCTGATTATGCTAACTCAGCAACTCTCCAGTGAGACAATTGTGCTCCCCAGGGGACACAGGAGAATGCTGGAGACACTCGTGATTGTCACAACTTGGGGGCGTGCCTACTGGCATCTGGAGGGGGGGAGGCTGCTAAGCATCCTGTGATGCACAAGACAGTCCCTCACAATTAAAGAATTAACCAGGTCAA